TATAAAAATGATAAAAGAATTCGTAGAAATCATAACGAAAGAGTAACTATTTGGAATTATAAAGATCCTTTTATAACAGCGGTTAGTATTTTATTGAATTGTTTCATATAATGGTTGAATATTATCTATTCTTTTAAGGTGTTTATCGATTTACAATATGCAACTAAGTACGATAAAGGTTTATATACATGTAAAGCAGTGTCGAGAATAAATGGAAAGTTACCATATACCTATGGACAATTAATTATCCAATCGATATAAGTTTGTTAATTATTCTTAATTTTTATGTTAACATACTGCATATTCATATTTCTTTTATTGCAGTAGCAGCCTATAAAACGTAAAATGAAACTTTACTTATCTGCAAAATTTAACACTGTAGTTTAATAAATTTATATAGAAAATGTAAAAACGATGAGGGTGAATAGTCTTTAACGGAACTTGGAACAGATTATTTTCCTGCTATGTAGTTATTTTATCTAAAATTATTTATAATGCTTACATTATTAATTATTAATATTGACAAATTCTTATTACAAACAATCAATTATATTGTCTATTGGACCTATTTATTACTTCTTGTCTAGAACTATTTCTTTTACTGTAAATGAATAAACTACATGGTTTCCTTCTTTTTAATTTATATGTTAAGTTTATTAGTATAGATCCATCATTGTTCAGGATGAGGGGGAGGAGAGGGAGGGGAGAGAGAATAAGATAATCCGAAACCATTAATTTAGATTGAATAAATCTGTATTTTATATTATAATAATATTTTACAAAGGTAAGGTAAAGAATACGGATAGTAAGATTTAATAAAATCTATTAATATATTGAATATTGAAGAAACTAAAATTCTCCGATCCGTAGAGAATAGAATTGAAGTTTTCTATCCTCATTCACATACTCTTTATAAAGATTATAAAGAGCATTCAATACTAAATAATATTTTTAACATAACCTCAAACCAGTAATGAAATGCTATGTATTCTTCATGGTAATTTTCTTCGTAATTAATGGGATCACTTCAAATTGCCAATTTAAATGTCCGAATGGTTAGTAAATTTATTGAAATTATTATTTAATACATTATCTACTCTATGACAGGTAATCCCTTTCCTGTAAACAATCCAGAGAGAATTGATAATTTGGATTGTGGACCTGATAGTTTTCCTAAATGGATAAGGGTAAAGAAATTGTACTATAAATATACTGTAATATCTAATTGAATGTATTTTATTTTGCAAAGAGTATCCTTGATATTTTCTTGAAAGAAAGTTGTTGCGAAGCACACGACATATGCTATTCAACGTGTGGAACACGTAGGGAAGAATGTGATAAAAAATTTTTCAAGTGTCATAAACGTAGTTGTAATCGATTCCCTCTTCTAATTAAATTAGGTAATGAAGCAATTAATTCATTCGTAATAAATGATTTATTCTTGTTCAGCGTGTCTGTTGAAGACCGAAATTGCTTATGGACTAGTTAAAGAATTTGGATGCAAGTATTTCAAATTAGCTCACAAAAAAGGCTGTTTGTGTTAAATAAATATATTTGACAAGATAAGGTTTTTTATCAAACAGGAGCTTTAGAAAATGTAGTTTTGTATTACGAATTTGCCTTGGCAACTTCGTTTTAATTTTATTTTTCGAACTTTATCGGTCTCTCTCACTGACACAAACTTTTCTGTTAGAATTGCTTCTTGTACAGTATATCCTATTTTATTTTTTTTTGTGTCTCCTAACCGGTTACCTGACTTTGCTCAGTTATTTATGCACCACATTCGTGCCATGTCTTTTAGTATGACTTGACCTCACCTACTTTTGTCAAGAAAATATGATATCACGTCGACCAACCCGATAGTGACATGAACCTGAGTTTCATACCTTCGAGACATATCATACATTTACACTAAAAAGCTAACTGGGACTTAATGATAAAAAAAATTGTTTATCGAATCATTTTGACCTGTGTTAAAAAATTCCTTTTTATTCGTAACATCTGCTGATATTTTATGAGATACTCTAATTGACTTGCCCCCCTAATATTATTAATTAGCTAATTTAAATATGCTAAATGGCATTAATTAAAAACAAATTGTCATTTCCTACCATAAGGCCGTTTTTAAACAACCATTGATTTTAAAATTCAAAAATGAAAGCTCATTTTGCTCTCTGTATATTTTTTATTGTATTTTTACTGAAGGGAATTTTCTCTTGTTCCTACAACTGCCCAAACGGTAATAATATACTTTTTTGCACTATGATAATCATATTTGTTTCTTTGTTATATAAATAGGAAATAAAAATCCAATTCAAAATCCAAATACCAACTATGGCTCTAATTGTGGACCTGAAAATTCCCCAAAATGGGTAAAGGTATAAGTACAACTGCTAAACAATCACAATAACAATAATATCTAATAAATAATCATTGAATCTTCAAGGTAATTGGTAATTTTTCATTTAAAAAGTCATGCTGCAAAAAGCATGATCGTTGCTTTGCAACTTGCGGAAATAAGAGAAATAAATGTGACTCGGATTTCATAAAGTGCCTTAAACAGAGTTGTAAGAAATGGTCTTTTCTAACTAGATTGGGTAAGTAAATGTTTAAAACTATAACAATATGATTATCTCTCTTATTTATTTTTCTCTTCTTTTATAGTATGCTACGCAAAGACTAACCTTCTGAAAGCAGCTCTTAAGGCAAAAAGCTGCAAATATTTTAAAAGCTCCCAAAAAAATGGATGTTCATGTTAAGAAAAAGGATTTTAGAATCATTATAGCTATTATTCCTGTTTGTTTATATAAAGAAAAACACTATGAAAACATGTATAATTAATTTTATTCTGGATCATTTTAGACTATTTTAGAAGTATGTCAATAAACAGTATATTATATATATTAAATCGAATATAAGAGATAATAGAATCAATGAAAGTCTTATATTATCCTAAATTAAGCGATCAAAGATACTCCTTACTCATATATATAAAATCCTCTTCTCTTTTGTAGTAAGTATGTCAAATCTTTGATCAATAACAAATTAACTTTTCCTGAAAAAGGTGTAGAGTATTTTTATTCATGAACCTTGAGATTAACCATTTTTATATATATGTTCTTTTCTATATTATTATATTATATTTTTAATATAGTAAATATTTCTCTTATTCATACAACAGAAAGGTTATTATCTAATCAATGAGTATTTTATCAGAATTAACTGATTTTCTAATAATTATATTTACTTATGAATATATCAATAATATATTTAAATATTCATTAACTTGCTGGGTTTTCTAGTGTCTTTTTACAGTGTTCATGAGTATTGTCTCCTGTACATTACTTTATGAGGATTATGAGACTAGAACTACTAACTAATATTCTTATATATTTCATATTTTTAACAAAAGGTAGTAATTATTTTTCTCATTTCTTTGATGATTTATAAGATAATAGTCCACTTTTCTTTCAAATATCTTCATTTTAGGAGTGTATAATGATGGTTATAAAGTTAATCCTTCTTTTAAAATAAATAGCTATGATTATTTAGAATCTTATTATAAGCTTGGAAGCAATTATGCAATCGTACTTACGGACTCTCAAAGAAAATACGAAGGAGCGTATCTCATTGGATGGAACTATATTAATCGAAAAGATAATTCTGTTTGCTATTTAGGTAGGCATTACATGTTTAAAGACAATGAAATATGAATAATAATGCATTTTTATAAATATCTTTTTAAGATATGTGGAGGCATGTCGGCAATTTTATATATAAATTGATGCATAGTCTTAAAGTGCAAAATGGAGAGAGCAAAGGATTTCATTCGAAATTTGTTGTCCGACCTTATAAATTAAGCAATGACGATTTCCTAGGATTTCACGTTGCTACTTTGGCAGATAAACATTGTTTTCCTCGTTTAGACAGGAGCGTTGAAGACAAACACAATCTTTCCTATTCTTTCAGAAGGGGAAGTAAATATCAGAATATATCTATTGGAGACGAAATAAATCATTCACAGAAGGGAAGCGAGAGTATTTATATGTTTCAAATGATTTATACTGATCTCCTTATAGTTGAAAAAGGTTTTATAAGCGAATTTAAATATTATGAATGAAAAACTTGTAAAACAAAATATTTGTTACATTTTCAGAGGAAATAGTTGACGATTTAAACTTAATTCCACCATTGCATAACCAACATATTTCAACTCCTAAACATTCTTTCACATATAAATTCTTAGGCTTCAGAATTTTTCAAATTCTTATTAGTTTTAGAGAAGCTCCAAATACTTCAGTATATATTTATATATTAAACAATAAGAATGATAAATCACGAAGTTATTACAAATGTACAGAAATTCTACCAGAAGATTGGAACTCTGTAACTTATGATTCAGAAGAGAAGGCTATATCAATAGTTAGAAAGTGTAACAGATATTTAAATGGAAGATATCTGATTATCAATTCAACAGAGAGGATGGAGATCCTAAATGTTGAAGCTTTTGGAAAAAATGATAGCAAACGCTATCTCCGTGTAAAAACAGCGAGCAGATTCATAATTAATGGATATTCACAGAATTTATCATGTTACAGTTTGATTATCTCTTTAAATCAATGTAACAAAGATGAAAATTGTATAGCAATTTATGAATTAAAGAATAAAGTATATTGTCTTATTTTCGAAACAAAACTTTTCCATAATAATGAAATGAAAGCCTTTAATGTACAATATGGATTTCATAAATATTCTTTAAGAGAAGTAAAAAAATGTTTATTCAAAATATAAACTAAAATTATCATTTTGTGATTGTTTCATTGCAACAAAGGTAAACTATTTGTAAATATGATAAATTCGAATAGCTTTAACACTCTGAATATTCATTTAATACATTCTATATTTATATGTTATTATTGGAAAACGTTTCACCTTATACAATTTCCAAGGTTTATTCAAATTTTATGCCTATTTATCGATATTCATTATTCGATGGTGGTACTTGAAATTTGCTTACGTAGATTTTTTATTATAATAGTAATAATAGTTATATACTCTAACTTATTTAAATATTTTATCGTTTCTTTTCTCAGTCTGTCCGCTTTGGAGTGAATTTTAATCATTTACAGACATATTTGAATAGAAATCACATATTAGACATTATTCAATTAATATATAAAGATAAGGAATATCTTAGAATTTGGAAACTAGATATTAAATCATTATGTTCCTTTCCTTATTAAGTCATTAGAATTAGACGCTCAAAAATTATTTATAGGCAACCTTTTTATTAAATAGAGAAGGAGCGTTGTTACTGCAGGTTATTACAGTCGCGATATTAAGTAATTATAAGAAGAGTAAAAATGTCTAAAAATCGAAATATTTTGATTTAGGAATAAAGTGTATGGTTGTGAAACATGATGGAAAATTTCAGGTAAATATCTATATTTTAAGAATCAATTTATCTTTCTTTTTTACCATACTATGAATTTAGACAGCTATTAAGTAATTTGGTCTACAAATATTGTTCCCTTGAACTTACAACATACCATTCTTTTGGAAATATTAAAAAATGCATCAGCTATCTTTAGAAATCTGCAAAGATATCCTGTTCCACTTAAGCGGGCCAAAATTGACCATTCAAGGCATAACAGCAAAATTTAATTGCAGCCCAGTTACAGTGCAGAATGTAAAGAATCAGTTCAAGCAATTTAAAACAATAAATGACCTGCATTTGTCTGGTAGACCACATAAAATCGCCAGGAGGATGCAACTGCAACTCACAAGAACATGTAGATCAACCCAAAATCGACAGTTGGAGGCATTCTAGAAAATACTGAAATTCCTATTCAGTATCACCTGATGCCTCATAAGTCATCTCTCTTACAGAAAAAATTATTCCTAACCATAAACTTCATTTGTAAATCAAGATATTTCGAATTTTAGATATTTTTACTCTTGTTATAATTACTTAATATCGCGACTGTATATATGATGGTATTAAAGAATACGTTAGAATAGCAAGAGAATTGATTCATACACTCTAATATTTTAATAGTTTCTTCTAATTGTCTGTGAACTATTCTACCAATAAACTTTGGATTTATCATTATTGTACTTTCTTTAGCTTTGTCTATAAAAAATCCTTATTGTTCATGTCTACCAGAGCATACGTTGCAAGAGGTCCTTCTTTCACTCGACAACCAAATGACCAATAAGATTCCCTAAATACTCTGTTATCAACTGTAATTCGAATTTTTTTCTTAGGACCATTGTCTTCAACAATTTCCCAGTTAAAATATTCGCTAGTTTTTTCGTCAGAAAGAGTAAAAAAATCCTCATATCCATATCCTTTGGGATCTTTCAGACCAGTATATTCACAATCGTACATTGTCTGAAATCTAATATTATAGTAGTTTATAACGTTTTTAATATACTTTAACACCATACCTTTTTCTCATCTACGTAAACACTTTTCATTGAAATTGTTAATGGTTTAACAGGAAAAACATGAGCCATTATTGTAGGATAATCTCCGTACCTTTGAACAGGTGTCCCAACTTTACATGTATACTTACCTCGATCATTTTCAGTAACATTATCAAACATTTGATATAGCTAAGAGGAAGATATAAGTTATAGATTAAATGATAACCAAACGAAACTCAATTCAATTACCGTCGTCTCAAATCCATTTGATACTGTTCTAGTAGTATCAGTTAGCTGTAAATCATTATGAAATAGGGATATTTCAACAAATTCGTTATAGTCGTGTTCAACTCTACAAGCTAAACAATCGGGTTTGTTGAGATATAAAAGTAAATTTTCACCATTTATGTAACTTCCCGTGCCATAATATGAATTAACTTTAGAACAAGCGCCAATATACGGTCTTAACCTCTTGAATAAACTTGTTACTTTTTTCTCTCTTCTTTGATATCTATTAGTATATCTTTTAAATTCAATTAGAATTGTTGATTTTACACCCTTAATAACTTTTTTTTTAGGATATAAAGAGTATTTATATACTCCATCAACATATTCTCTATCAGTTTTCACAACAGATTCACTTAAATTCATAGATATTCTCGCTCCATCAAAATCCTTATGTTTGTAAATATAGGTTGTTTTTAAATTATTACCATAGCTCTGTTCGTAAAATCTTAAAGAATAATCACTAAATTCTGTATGTCTTTGTCTATGGTGTGACTTGGTATTCTCATCAATGTGAGATCGATGATGTTCAATATGTAAATTCATAGATAAATCTTCATATACAGACATATTATGTAATTGTGTAAAACTTGAGCTCTGTTCATAAATCAATAAAGGATTATCTGGTTCAATTTTCCAGTCTATTAGCTTCTTTATATTTGTTACTTCACAAAAAGAACAATCGAAATTTGGAAAAATGTTAAATTCCTGTAATTTTCCAGTTTTGAGTAGTTCAATCTTCATGTTGAAATATCTTTCTATTACGCTCTTATCATTTCTATTTACTAATTTTTCATCATCAAATGTTAGTTCATTTAATAGAAAATGAATTCCATTTGTATTGGAGGGAAAGAACTTTATTGTGCAATTATTAACGCCATCTTCAGGTAGAATAAAAGTTTAATGATCAGGAAGTATGTTCTAATATTCTATTTTTCATAATATTTACCTTGAAAAATATAATATTTTTCATAGAATTTTGTAGCTTCATAGTATGTCCAACGAATGCTCAAATCGGTATCAATTACCCCTTCCGGTAGGATAAATAGAGCTTCTAAGGAGCGATAACCGTTACCAGATGTTGCAGTACTCCATTGAATTTGAGTTAGAATTGGAAAATTTCCAAAAACTACTTGAATCAACTGTTTATACAGTATACATATATATATATATATATATATATATATATATTAGTATATGATATATTAGAAGAAAGACATTAATAATTACTTTATACCTGTAGTAGTATTACAAACTTCATATTTTACAGTAGAATAGTATTGCAAAGCTTTAGTCTATTCTGATCTCTCTGTCTAGATATTCGACCTTTATCCTTTTTTCTAGTACATTAATTATATAAATTGCTTAATAAACAGGAAATAAGATTATATTTGTCAAATTAAATATTAAAATGTATTTCTTTTTTGTGTAAACACAGAACTATTTTATTCGAACGTTTTTTCCTTTATAAATTTCTATTCAAAACGTTAAAGTTTTGCCTTTTTAGTATAATTTTTGTTAGCTTTTATCATATTTTTAAATAAGCTAATACAAAAATAATTCAATCTAAAAGAATATGAAAAATTATTGAAGCATTCAATATTTTTTCCAATTACTTTATATCCGGTTCGAGTTTGATCAAGTCCCTGCTGATTCCCTTTTTCAATTGAAATATTGATTTTATAAAAAAAAAGAAATCAGGGATGAAAGTAGCCTCATTACCCTGTCAACCTATAAAAAGTCAGTAAATTGACAAATGATTTACTCTATTAATAAACATAGATATATTGGTAACAAAAAATATATAAAAATACAGTATGGAATGTTTTTACGATTGATGAATTGGTACTAGAATTACCTGAGTCAATTAAAATTTTGCTCAAATATCAATATAATATATAGAAATAAAAACCAGCTGGAATAGACTTTCAGTTTTTAAAAAGCCAATAATTTTACAGTTAAAATTTCCGTTTAATTCTTAATATAAAAGAAATAACAAGGTTTTTATCAGTTAAATAACTAAATAGAAGATATAGATTTATATCTTATATATACTGTATATATACAGTATATATATTCCCAAATGCTAATAATCACCAAGATAAAATAGCGAATCATGCAACTCATTTCATGAGTTAATTAATTCTATAAAGATTGTCTCTACCTTATAAGCCAGAAGCATATTGCACGGAAGTGTAAAACTTCCAAAATGATTTTAAGAGAATATCTCGCTGCTCGGAAAGTAATCAATGCTATTCAAGCTATTAAGAAAAGAATGCGATCATGAATTTTATTAGTGCTTTTGGGAAGATTGACAATCGTGGAACTTTGACATGAAATCTTGTAAATATACCAAATAACAGTAAAATAGGTTTGCACTTAAAAATATTTAATACGTCTATCAGAATGTCTGCATCGGTAAATCGGCTTTAGCTAAGAAACTTGTGGAAAAATTCGGTTGTAAATATTTTAAAGACACTAAAAAGGATTCTTGTGTTTGTTAAGAGAGATAAATAATATAGAATTTATTACTCTTAAGGTTTGGAAAAAGGAAGAAAAAGCCTTGGAAATGAGAGAACAAAACAAACAAGATAAAAATAACCTTTCTACCTTTTGAGTACAAGGTATTATTCACTATTCCTATACATAAATACATATCAATGACAAAAGTTTTATACCAGTTGAATAATTATTCATTGTTTTTATAATCTTCTTTTTATATTAATTCTTTATAGTTTTGCTTATCGTTTGAAGAGTATCTAGCCGTGAAAATGTTACTATTAAGTGGTTATTTTAAGCTGCTATTTACAAGTATGACTTTAATGTTAATTAACCATTTGCCGTTTAATTACGGGTGCGCTTCGAATCAGGATTGTAAGTTCGATTGTCCAAATGGTAAATATTATAATACTTTAGGAATGGCATGTAAAATAACAATAAATCTACCTTTTGACAGATACATTTCCAATGAATAACATTAGCTATACTCCATCTGTAGGTTGTGGTCCTACAGGATACGTTTGGTTAGAGGTAAATATGTTTTATTAATACTATATTAATATTATTCAATTGTTGTTCTTTTCATTTATTTATTTATTAGAAAATATTAAATTTTACATTTGAACAATTTAAAACATGCTGCTCTGTTCACGATAAATGCTATGGGAAATGTTTAATGAATAAGGCAATTTGTGACAAAAAATTAACAGACTGCCTACAAATTGAATGTCATAGTAGACAATGGAAAATATCAAAAAGTTAATATATTTATAAATTTTACATAACTTTTTAATATTTACTTTTATTGCTTTTAAAGGTATATGTCACGTGTCAGCTGAATTCTTTATTTTATCCGTTGAATGTTTCGGCTGCTCTGCCTATAAAGCAGCTCAGAAAAGGGCTTGCATTTGTGAAAGGAATCATAATAACTCGACTTTATTTTAAGCTATATCTTTGTAAAAAGCTAGTATATTTTCCATTACCTTTATTTTATCCTCTTTCTCTCTCCCTCGCCCTCTCTCCTCTCCTCCCTATTTGACTGCATAACCTTTGATCATACTAAAACTTTCCCTATTTTTCTATAAAGATTAGATTACCCTTATCTTCAATGCCCCCGTATATGTTAGACAGCCATTTCCACTACTATTTTTATATCTATATAATTATTGAGATAACGCAAAACTATAAAATATAGGCCTACGTATTAGCTTAGGATAGATTTTCTTATCAATTTTTTCCCCATTTATTCTTAAGTTCTAAAGAAATGTAGTAGAGAAAAAATTTCGTTTGTATGGTAAGAATATACAATCTATTTGATACCATAATCATTTTACCAGGAGCAAGAAAAAGACATAGATGATTTATACAGCTGGAAAATTATAATCAGAATAGATAATTATCTTCGGAATTTTATAATATACATTTATTACTTTTAATTAGTTAGTATATAGTAATAATAACTAATTAATTAAATAATTTAATTAACCGTAATTATTCATAAGAATAAATAATTAATATATTTTAGACCTATATTAAGAAATATTAAGTAGTAAAGTAATATATTCTTCTTTCTCTGTATGAATGTATTAGACAAATTTTTATCTAAATAAAAAATAAAGGAGCAGATGTTTCCTTTTGTAAACATGAAACTTGTCTATTTATGTACACATTTTCTTATTCGGTATGTAAAATAGTAGGAAAAAAAAAGAATATTTTATGAGATCTTTCATTCATTCATTATCGTTATCCTTATCGTAAAAATCACAAAAAAAGACATCTTAAGACTATTTTCTCTTATCTCTCCTTTCTTCTTCTTCTTCTTCTTCTTCTTCTTCTTCTTCTTCTTATTTTGCTTCTTTATCTTCGTTACAGTTTAAATAAAAATATAGTAAAGAAAAATAAATAAAAGCGGTTGAAAATTAAATGGAATAGTTCTTATTTCTATTGTTGTTTTCTTTTTCTTGTTCTATTTTTATCATCTTCTTTCCTCTATCTTCTATCTTGTATGTCGTTCGTTCGGTACAGTTCTATTTTTTCTTTTTCTTTCTCATCGAATCTCTGATGTAGGCATGTTCATCTTCCCGCTAACAATTGAAGTTGCCCTAGTTAATTGGGTGGCGCTACTTGTTTCTCTTACTAGGGATCTACACCATGTCTCTGGAATTAAGTCATCATTTGTCGAGCATCCTGTTCCAACCCTCTGAAAAAATCCACCAAATTAGTTTTGTTTTACGGAAAACTAGACTAAAATTATTATTGCTTACAGTATACTCTTTCCTTCTCCTGGACCCGTTACAGATGGCGCTGGACGTATCTAATTGATCCATTTTTATATTTGTCCTACTCTTCGCATTATTACAAGGTTTTTTATAAGGGTCGAAAATATATTCGTACAGTAGACCGGAAATTAATCCACCAGCCATTGCTGCCGCCCAGTAGAGCTGTAAGCAAAATAAAAGAGAAATAAGTAAATGCTCTAAAACTTAAGGAATAAAAAGGGATTATCTCAAATGAAAAAAACATTCAATCATTTATTAAGCCTATAAGAAATTTTTTTTGGATTTAGATAAAGAATTTAGAAACAGCATTCTCTTTTTTCTTTTTTTTACAAGCAACCAGATATTAAAAAATCCCTTCTTCCACTCCTCTTTCTCCTCCCCTTTTTGATCAGTTCCCCTTTAATCCCATATAATTATCAATTGGTTCAAGGTGACACATGTTCAATGGTTGATTAAGCAGTCATTGTTAGTCTAAATATACATAAAAAAAAGAGTTATAAATTTTGTCCCTCTCCTTAGGAAAAGGGAAGAAAAACTAAAAAACTAGAAAAGCCAAGAAAAGAACGCTTGCTAAGTTTTTAATTAAACGAGTGATGGGAAAAGATAGTGATGAGAGATACTGAGGCTATAAGGCCTTATTCACCACCTGCTTCCGTTTCCTATCATCTGTCTATATACAATCTATTGTCCACTTACATCATCTTTTTTTGTTTGTCGTTTATATATGTTTTTTTTATGTATATAAATAAAAGAATTGTCAAGAAATTTACGTCAAATTTATCCTCCGAAATAACAAAGGAATACAACTAATTGGTCAAGAAAAAAGAGAAATATTTCTAAACTGTTCTTAGTTAAAATATAAAGGTTATCGTTAAAAGGTCAAGTAAGGTAAGAGTTAATTTACTAATAATTAATGAGTACTCTAGAGAAATTATATAATAATAGTAATAATTGTTAATTATTTTCAGTAGGTATGGTACTGATTTATGATAAAGGAAAAATACCCTTATTAATTTCAATTTAGTAGAAATACTACTTACCCATTGTAAATTCCATTTATTCATAATAAATGCCGGCCCGAGGCATCTTGCTGGATTAATTGCACATCCAGTCATTCTTACGCCTACAAGATGGGCAGCCGTCACAGATAATCCAATAGCCAGAGCCGGACTTCCAGCCATCTTTCTCTCAGGCGCAACGGTTGCAAATAGCGTGAAAACCGTTATAAAAGTGAGCATTAGCTCCAAACCGAATCCCTGAGCTCTACCGATACCCTCCGCTAATCCATTCATGCCCAGTTGACCTCTCCGATCCGCTGGCGTAATTCTGTTAAAAGGGTGGCAAAATAAATCAATTAGCTCATCCGGTTTTTTCTATTTTCGATTTAGTTTTGGGCTATCTAAAATTATAATTACTTGTAAATTCTATAAAGAAACAGAGAATTTACAAAATTTATCTTAACATAGAAATCATCAATAAACCAAGATTGCCTAATGTATAGACGTGTCTACAATACAAAACTAATTCGGCGTCTATTGAATTGCTGTCCCTTTTTTTTTGCAGGAGAGCTACGTATAACTTTTATAAAGTTTTCAATCCTTATAAGTAGTAACATTTAATGCGATATAAGTACAGCGCATTCTGCAAAATGCAAAGAATACACGCTTTGAAGAAGAAGAGAGAGAGAAAAAACAACAGCAAAATGGATTTCATTTCCCCCAAATCTACTTTATTTTAAAAGATTCTACTGACAAAATTGTCTACAGAAGCTGAAATAGCGGAACCTATAATAGCGCCTAATGAGAATAATGCAGTATTTAACCGTCTCCCATATCCGCCATCAACTCAGCAGGAAATCAAACTTTTTTCATCTTATCGTACGAAACTACAAACACTCAGCTTGATTATTAAGTTTATGGAAAGCTTAGCTGACAAACATTGACGAATTGGTAACATTTTGCCAAAAGTCGACAAATATTATTGATTTCATAATGAAAATAAGAAATTTTTAAGAAAAATAATCGATCATCCTATAACCAATATAGTCCCACTGTTTATCATTAGGCAAACAACTGGAGTGGAGATAAAATTATCGGCTTAATGCAACGACCGTCAGAACTGAGAATAATGCGATCAAGCGACTTAATGCGAGACAAACAATCGACCTTTATACGACATGACGCGATTATCTAGACGATTTTTCTAGGAATGCGTTCAATTTTACATAATTTCATTTTTCTTATAAAAATTCTTTACTAACTAATTAACATTGACGGCTATTTTCGGTCCCTTCGGATATGTCTCTCATCCCTACATTCATTTCCTCTTCATATAAACTGGGAGAATGAGTATAAACGTTTATTTTAAATCACGGTAGTTATTTTATACGCCTTTATGCCTTTGTGTACCATAATAACACTACTGGGCAAGACAATCAAATATATTACTGAGAGTAAATATTAACAAAGTAGGTCTATATTATATAAATATCCATCAATGGAATTCTATAGTTATTACTAACAAATTATAAAGTTTACGGTGCCTTATATACTTCATTTTTATATCAATAATAAACACAACTCTAAACGTATCTTTATGGTTATTAATAACAGAATCACGTATAGCATGTCGTCTTAAATTCTATGATAAACTAAGCCTATGGAGCGTCGAACGTTTAAAAAATGCTAAAAACGTCAAATTGATATTCATCAGTTCCAGCTAAGTAAACCATTGATTTTATACACTTCTAAAAAGAAAACAAGTAAAGTGTAGAATACATTTTTGTGTCACTCATCTATCATATCTTTTACAGTACTATCTTTTTTCTTTCTTCTTAGTTTAAATTTGACATTGACTATGACATTGAATCTCTTCTTTTTCATGCAGACAGATTTCACGAGAGACTAGGACAAACAACTCAAAGAAGCGCCTGGGCAAAATCTCTCAACCTACTTGAGCGTCGAAACCCTTGAAAACTATACGTTTTTGATTTGGAGAGGTGTAGCACGCATCTCTCTCCATCTTGCTCTTTCTCTCTCAGCCTACATAGCTACTCTGTATTATAAAGCAACGTTAGATAGAACAGTTTGTTTTCATAGTCAAGTAAAGAGATGTTATATGGTTAAACTGTTTTCCATTTATATTCCTTGCTAAAGTAATTGAGCTGACCAGATAAATAACGTCTACAACTGTAAACGATTTTTACCTAAGCTTCCTAAAAGGCGGAGAAAGACCTTTCCGACCTAATTAACGCCTATTTACCAAATAAATAGATGTTGCGGTAGCCGATTTTACCTCGGACACGAGAAAAATTTCTATTGTCTAATGATAAGATTTCAAGCTTTTTCAGGCAATTTCGTCTATTAGTTTGCTTGAAAAGTAGCACAAATTTTTTCCAAGAAAAACCTATCAATCCTAGAATATGTCTAGGCCTTTCGAATAGAGCAGCTAAAAAGCGTCACCTTTTCCCTATTAACTGTGACGAAAAGATGGATAATAACAAATGGAAAGTAAATAAACGTTTTATTTTGTTTTCTTTGCTTTTTTTATCTTTTTATATACTGTATATATAATATAAATACAGTATATATAAAGGTAAGGAATCGTCGATATTTACACATATTTATACTAATTAGTATTATCCTATTTATTGTTAAGATAGCTCATTGAACTACATTAGCGACTATAATTAAAACGATTAATGAAGAGAATCAAAATTCCTTTTGTAATGAATAATTATTTCTAATATTCTTAGGGCTGTTAATCCTATATAAAAATCCATTTTCAATTCCTCACTAAGGAGGATAGAAAGCAATTATTAGACGCTACAAAAAAATCAATATTGGGTACTGGTAATAGCCGTTCACCCACACTAAACAAGAAGGATGGTCTCTTGAAACTAAATGTCTCCTTATTGCCCATAATCAAATACCAAGGGTTATACTAATTTATTTTATTACCTTATCGTAGTTTATAAACCTTATCTCTTTGCACGAATGAAAAGGTTAAATAAATAGTCCATGAATATTCATGAGAGTGAATGACAAAAGAAAAAATCAAATAAAATTTTGACAAGCTTTATCAGCGTTTAGTTAGAATGGTGAAAGAAAAGGAATAATTGAAAGAAATCTTCGGAAAAGAGAGAATAAGAAAGGATTCTAAATCCATGATAAGCTTAAAAGATATTCCCTAAATCCTAATGCTTTTGTTAAGACTTTGATGGAGCAGGACGAAACTTCAAAAAGCTACAACCAATTTTTATTCTTTTTGGTTCAGACCAAATAAGGAACGATTAGAAAAATACAAAAAATTTTATAAAGAAATATAAACTACGTTTTTTATTTTTTACAAATAATTCCTTTATAGGCCTGCCTTAAAGGGAGGCGTCGAATAATACATTATATTACGTATATTTGTAGAGTAGAATCTTCCTTCATTTCCAACACAAAGGAAACGTAGCGAAAAAATGATTGACGCTAGTAATTTGTGCAAATGCTATATAGAAATCTGGACGTAAAATCTGACGCTATCGGTCACTGAGAAAAAAGAGGAGTATTATTGATTTGAAAAAGGGAAATATGAAGAAAACACTCTTTATTCATCAATTTTATTTACTTTTATTCACTCTTTCTCTCTCTGTCTCTGTTCTGTCATTTTCCCTTTTTTTCTTTCTCTAAAACTCTTTCTACCCTTTCTCTCGCTGCCTTCCCAAAGTTTCTATCCTATTTATCTCCTGACTAAAAAATATAACAGACAGTGGAATAGTGCTGATAAAACAAACAGAAAAAAATTGTTATTCAGAGTCAGTCACCTTCGACTAATTACGTCGTCTTGTGACTTTGATGAATTAGGCCAACCACAAATCGACAATTTGAATCGGTCGTCAGCAAAATAATAGAACGAATCCAGTCGACTTTTAAAAATCAATTTTTTAAAAACCAGAGTCACAAGAAGTGCCTTGGAAGACCGGGTAAGAGAAACAAATTGGATAATAATAATAATAATAATACAGCTAAAAAGAACTATGGAATAACTAAAAGTGGAAGGATGGGGGGAGGGGGAATGACAGAGAAAGAAAGAAAAAGAGAGAGGAAAAAGCTATCGGGCTAAAAAAAGGATAAACTTGTTCATTAATAATATGACATAAAATATTCATTAAATATTTTTATAGCCCTAAAGAGAATTTTTCGCACGGATGACAAACTTTTCTCCCTATGTATTCATCAGAATAAAAAGGGTCAAGAAGATCCATCAAAATGAAAAATAACCTACCGGATATGGAAAGAATACAGCAATAGATTGAATATAGACTGCAGCTATATTTAATTTTTTTTCAATGAAGTCTGTCCTTGCAAGTGTATTAATATTCTAATAGAATTACTGTTAAGGATCTCTTTTCTAAAATCTATCGGCTATAAGTAAAGTAGGAAATCGAGTGAAACAGCTGCATCTCCGTAAAGAAAAGGCGTCACTTTGTAAGCGAATGTTAACTCCGCTTGTTTGTTTGCTTTACAACCGTTTTGAATAGGGGGAATAAAATTGAGAATTGTTTGTTTTACTGCCTCCCGCAAAGCTCATCGTTGATTTTAATATGTGTACGGATATTGAACACAAAAAACCGCAACAGTCGTATATTCTCCGTATGATTATAAACGTTACAGTTCATCTAGCGTGACAGCATTTTGCAGTAGTCTGATTTATTTCTCAATCAAGCCGTCCATTTTACGTGATCGTAATGCAAGAACGAATTGCCTATAGAAATTTTTGCAGTTTAGCGCCGTTTTTTCTCGCCCCCGGCGAATTTGCCGTTTTATTGGCGATCGTCGCAGTGTTACTTTCAAGTGACGGTTGAAGACTGTTGGCTTTTCGTCAGTATGACAAATACGCGAGAATTCTTTCTACTTGGTTAAAAGAGAAAGAAAATTGTCTTATATCATTTGCCCGTACGATCTTAAGGAAAAAATTAATTAAAAGCTGGGAGCTTCAGTCACGGAAAGAGTGAATGATTAGATGAGCGCCTAATGCTGATTCGGCTCCTTGTAAACGTCACAATGGATACTATAAAATTACTTTCCATGTTGACAAATTAATTTGTTTAGCCTAGCTACTGAATAGATTGGCAAACTGCACCATAGAGCGTTACCTTGTTAGTTCATACGCTTTTAACAAATTAATGGGTTATAACGATAAATTTAAACTTTCGACCCCTCTCTATTTTTTATTGTCAACAAATCGAAATATCAAGGTTAACTTAGCTTTTTTGTCTTCCTTTTCATCCTACACTAAATTTTTATATAAGTTATATAATAAAGATTGTAAAATTGAGCCTATTCACCTGATAATATTAAATTAACAATACAATGAAAGATATCCGAAGAGATAAGCTATGAATAATTATACGAAAGTAATGTTAACAATAAATTAAATAACAATTTTAATGGATAAATATATATACAGTATATATATAATTTATACTACGGAAAGAAGAGAAGATAAAGAAAGTGCTTTCTTCTCTCTCTCTTCTATATTGTATACTATAATGGAATCTTTTGCATAGCTACTTTATCATGAGATTATACGGAAGAATGCTAAAGTGTTAAGTTAACTGGTATTATTTTTCTTTTACATATACTTTTCATATGAAGAGCAAAGAAAGCAAACTATCTTTACAAACACTCTGGCAAAAGTTTAAACGAGTTCATTCCTATCAAGATAAGCTAAACTAACTACACTTTCAGCTATTATTATACATTAATTGCTTTTACCAGTCTACTGCAAATATTAGATATACTTCGTTATTTGAAGTATAGGAAACGATGGATATTAATAAGAGTATCATTATTCAGAGTGGTTTGCGTGCTTGTGTAAAAGAAAAAGGCTTAGGTGTCATTTTTCAATTTCATTTATCAATAATATAGATATACTGTATATATTTCTTTTTTTAATACATTATATAAGATACTATAGAAATAAAATGGCGCGTCTCTAAAGATTATCGCTTATTGCGTGACTTTTTAATGTAATTACGCTATTTAATTTGCATAAAGTATTCAAATCAGAAATGAATATATAGAAAAAAAAAGTAATCTGTGTAACACGAAAGTTAGTTTGACGAGACGACATGACTCAAAAAGTCAGAATAGCGTGATGGAAGATATGTCAGATCTTGTTCTCTCTGAATTATTGTTAAGCGACAAAGGGGCGTTGGAGACGGGGCTGGCGGAGGGGTTAAAAAGACAAAAAGCGAGGGCGGGATGGGTGGATTTGTCACTTTAATGCATACAATGTATATTCAAGTAGACAGAATCCGCCCCCTTTATTCTTAAAGGCTTTTATTGCTACATAAATCTTTAATATATCGAATTATATATCGTGCATTTTCAAGGTTGTTTTTTATGTGCATCATTAACTAATGCTGGTACATAACGGCTAGTTAATCTAACTGCAATTAAGATGCCATCAATTTATATTAATGGAATTTGGTAGGTAATTTAATAATTCAATAACTTTTTAATCTAATATAAAGGAAAGAAATTAGAGAAACGGCAACAAAAATAAATGAAAAACACTCTTTAATGTGCTTATTTAACGCCTCTTTTTTTGGAAATTGAAGAGCGTTAGATACATAATTACTCTTTTTCCTAAGGGACATTCCATAGCTCATTAGAGCTATAGGGACTTGACTCTTGACTTGTCTAAAGGGTAAACTATCAAAGTTGTCCACGAAAAATCTAATACTATTACATAATCCTTAATTAATGTTTCGTTTTATCTATGCAAATGAATAAAGGAGAGTTAAGGGAATTTCCCTTTCTGTTAAATGTATAATACTATGCATACTGTATATAGGATAGAGACATATGTATCTTGTTTATCTCTTTGTTCACTATTATTTTATTATTTTTGTTGTGAGTACAGAAACAGCTAAAAGATAAATAAATAAAATATAAAACCATTTATACTATATGACCTTAAGAAACATAACATTTCTCTCAATAGCTCTGAGGAATAGGGAATTATACTCTGAGCTTTAAAATGCTCCTATATAATTTTCTCAACCCTTCACTCATACTCTTTAATGCATTCTTAATGTTCTCCGGCTTACGAAACCCGAAAAGTTGCGGCATTACGAGCTATAATGCATAAACATCGATCAAAAATTCTATATAAAAGGGGCCCTATCACAGCTTTATGAGAGACACTTTATATCGTATAACAAGCTGTACGTTACTATTTTTTCCAAGTGGCAAAACCCGTAACAAAGAAACAACTATCCACCTGATAATTGGATTTAATTCGTGAGCGAGGAAACAACTTCCGGTAAAAGAAATTACTACAGTCTACATATAATGAATAACTGAAAAGTATCAGAATCTTTATCAATTACAAAGGTTAATAAGAATATATTGCTATGGTAACAAAGTAACATAATAATGTGGACTTACCCGTATAAAGCGGCCGCGCCGGCGATAGCACCCCCACATTGAGAGATTATGTAACAGATTCCCCTCAGAATCGTTATCTTCCCAGTACAAACCATCGGGAGCGTTACGGCTGGGTTAAAATGACCGCCAGATACATGACCGAAGCATTGAAGAAGCATCATCATACATAAGCCGGCGGCTAATGAAATGTATAAAACTGAACAATCGTCCCTATCTTCCTCTTTAGTCCATAAAGTACTAAAGCACACAAAAAAGGTGTAGAAAAACGTTGCAATACATTCGCTTATAACTGCTCTCCAGAATTCTATAGAGCGAACCTCTGTATCCATTCTAGAAAGGTATCCTCTCCTTCTATCCCGTTCCGAATCATCGGACTCAGAGAGATGATTATTCTGCATTTTCTTCGCTATAAATGTCGGACAGTTGTTGTTTGTAAAAACAGTTTTTTCCAGTTTCTCTAAACACCTGTTTGTCCGTCAATCATTTTTTTTCCTCTATATGTTTAAAACTTTAATTTTATCAATGAGTTTGCTTGTCAATTTTCAATTTCTGTCTTCTTTATTTATTTCCCAATTTAACTAGGTATAATGAACAATAATTGTTTATACGTTACTACTCTCAAGCGCTTGAGCGACGTGAAGTTTCTGCATTGACTGCAGACGGCAAGCCGTTCTCTAACAGTTAAATTACGTATATTTAATAATATGTCTATTTATAAAACAAATATACTGATCTTGTGCTATTAAATAATTTAGATAAGTAATAAAAATACTTTTATAATTTTATATTATTATTTTCACAAAATAATTTAGATTATTATTGAGCGATAATAGAGTAAATTGTATAACAATTATCGTGGAAAAATTTTGAAGGCGTTACCGTACAAACTACTCGAAAGTAAGTAAGTATATCCTCCCAATGCAAATAATCTAAAGAAAATTAGTAGAAATCAGGTCAACATTGATCTTATCAATAGTTGAATGATACCGTCAAAATCGCATCTGTTCCATTCGCACTAAACCGACTCCTCTTTTAGCCAAAAGAGAGAGAGAGAGAGAGAGAAGAGGCGGTACGGAGGAAAAAGGAGAAACTTGTTTATATTTTTGTTCTGTTCAATAGAAATATATACGCTTAGACTTGCATTTCTAGAAATCAGTGACCAACCTATACGCTGGGAATTGTAGGGAAAATACGTAGGCCTATAAAATTATACCGCATCACCGATTTTTGCTTTCGACTCACAAATTAAGGTTCGCATCTGGAAAAATTGTTAGTGTGTAGGGTAATTAGCGGTGATGATTTATCTGGCAACGTTATGTCAAAGAAGCTTTACCAAGAAAAAGAGGAAGCAAGGCCCATATATAGAGAGAGACTAGAGTGGAAAGATGGATAGATAGATAGATAGACGGAGAGTTGGATAAATAGAAAAGAGAGAAACGAGAAAATTGGAGAGAAAAAAAATGAAGAGAAATTGATATAAAGATGCTTTTCTATATCCTTTTTTTTGCTTTTCTATTCACATTTCTATATCACGTGATTCACATTTAAAATATTTCTTTCTCTTTCTCTATAAATAAAAAAGAAAAAAAACTAGATAATTTATTAATAAATCATAAAATATAAAAATTTGATTAGTCAGCAAAAACATCGATTTCTTTTTTTTCTTGTCTATACAGTATATAAATACAACATATTGCCTGTTTCTATAATATCTATATACTTTACATATACTGTATGAACTTATATATGCAGTTTCATCAACGTATAACAATGATAGAAACAACATAGTATAATATAGTAAATTGTATTATCAGTATCGAAAGTTTCTTTTGTAAAGTATTAAGAGCTTCTTTAAAAAGTATTTAAAGAATTTATAAGTTTTCCAGGGTGATTCTTAGTCTTTTATTAATAAATAGAGCGCACAAGGGAGAGAGAGAGAGAGAGAGAGAGAGAACGAATAGATAAAATATCTTTAAGCAGTTTTAATACTTATCTTTTAGTGTAAAATTTCATTGAAAGAGAATTTTATTTATTTCAAGTATTTATAATAATTCATCAACAATTATTACGTCTAAGGTTCTGTGTAACACTATATGATTAAGCTTTAAAACGGTTCTTTTAAAAGATGCATAAGATAGAATTAGTGACCATACTACAAATACGACAATTCCTCACGCAATATATACTCTGTAAATATTCAAATTTGGTTTATATATGAAAAGAAATAAGCTAGTTTGCTCTAAAATCAAGGGAATCCTATAAACAGCATTCCTAATAAAGCAAGGATTGTAAACACCAAATAAACGAGACGCTTATACATCTATAAAATTAATACAAAAAAAAATCTGTGCTAAACCCTTCAAGCATTTATTTTATCTTTTTCTTCTTCTTTGAAAATAGTGATTTGTATATTTTCCCCTGTCTGATCTTTATCTATTAGATTTAAAAATTCTTAATTAATAAGGTATAATTACTCAATTTGTATCTGTTTTGTTTTTATATTTCTTTTTCAAGCCTACTGGCAACTACTCTGCTCATTTCATTTGCTTTATTATACCACGTAGATATTCTATGTATAGTTTTAAGAAAATATTTAACATACAGCGCCATCTTTCATCAAAATAGTAGAAAGTTAAAAAAATTATCTTCATGTACTATATCTCTATATTTCAAAGAGAGAAAAAGAGGGAAGATAATTAAAGACGTTTGTAAAACAGAGTATCATGACTGAAAATAACTAGAGAATAACAAATAAGACAAAAAGTAGGTAAAACTCTTTATTAATATATATAAATTATATATCCATTTCACCCCAACTATTCCACAAATAAAGCTGAAATCAAATTGTTACTCTTTTCTCTTTCTTATCCATTTATTGACATTCTACTGTTACATATATTTTGACTTACCTGTACCTTATTATCTTTGTTCAACATTGTTTATATCACATTACAATTTCACGTTAAATAAAGCGAGCTTTGGGTTGAATTAATTGTTATTTACAATTGAAAAGGCGAACCGAACAGAGAAGACAAAGAAACGTTCTTTGAAATGGGTCTTGAAGAAGCTATGATCTATTTAGGACGTTGTGGCCCGTATCAAGTAATTACATATTTGATAATAGTTGTTTCAATGAATCTTCCAACGACATGGCAATTGTACGGAATTGTCTTTGAAGGTTCGTTATTTAAGAAACACATCTGCTTAATATTTAATTGAGATAAAATTTCTATAACCTTTCCATTGTAACTTGTTTTAAATATCTTTTTGGGAATTTCTTTGTCTTTAAAACAACAAGTTATTGTTCATATGACAAAGAAAGTTGGGTACACATTTTTTAGATATTCTAAATACTCTTTATTCCATCCTTTTAATATTCAGGAGATTAACTTTTCGATAATATCAAATTGCTTTGTGTATTTTCGTTTTTCCTTTATTTTTTTTTCTTTGCTAGGTCCAAGTGTACCCTTACGTTTCTCTTGCTTTCCAAGGCCCAGTGATGGATTCTCTCCTAAAACTCAACCGAATTCGGCTTGCGAACAATACAAGCTCATCAAGGAGATTAATTCTTCAGATGTTGTCGAAATTATTCCCAATCAATTTAATCAGACCGTAGGAAATATTACCTACTTTTACAGTAAAAAGGAAAAGATAGAATGCAGTCATTTCGTTTACCACCCATCGTTAAATGGCTATACTAATGGTGACAAAGTTACAACTATTCAACAAGAATGGAATCTTGTATGCAAAAACGAAATGTGGGTCTCTTGGTCGCAGGTTGTTTTTACAGCAGGTATATCTGTTGGAGCTGCACTCTGCCCCCCGTTTGGCGATTATTTTGGTCGTAAAAAGTTATTCTTTCTATGTCAATTTGCGATGGGTATTTGCGGGCTAGCAATGGCATTCAGCCCAAATTTACTGTCATTTTGCTCGTTTCAATTTTTAACTGGTGGCTTTTCTATGGCAAACAACTTAGCAGGCTTTGTTATTGCATGCGAGCTCTTCCCGAAAGATACAAGATCGATTTTGTCTCCTCTAATTTACGTGTTTTTTGCTATTGGTACAAGTTTATTATCACTATGGGCTTTTATCTTTCCTAATTGGCGACATCTACAATTTGCATTTTCAATACCACCTCTTATCACATTGCTATATTATCCATTCTGTCCCGAAAGTTGGAGGTGGCTAATATCTAAAGGTCGTTATGCAGAAGTAGAAAAATTATTGGATAAAGCTGCTAGGTTTAACAAGCTTGACCCAGTTCCTAGGCATATTCTATATGACAAATCCGATTCAATTCCAAATATGACTGAGAGGTAAAAGGAAGAGTTTATTTATTTTCGTAATCAAAGAAATTGTCTCTCTATATTAATAAGAAGCTATTTAATAATAATAATAATAATGATAATGATACAGGAAGCAGATCATGTGGAATTATTTCAAACAACCAAAACTACTTATGTATACTGCGGCTATGTGTTTTGCATACAAAGCTAACAATTTGGTTTATTATGGTTTAAATTTAATGAGTGGAGCACTCGCTGGAGATCCTTACTTGAATTTTTTCATATTAACCATCGTAGAGGTAATCAGTGTAGCTATGGCGGTTATTGCCGTTAGTATATACGGTAGACGATATCCAATTATGACGTTCTTTTTTACGTCATCTATCTTTCTCTTTATCGCTGTTATCTTTAATACGGTTACTCAACTGGAAACTATTATTGGTACAGAAAATAAATTCCTGTGTGTAACTGCCTTTACAATCTTGGGTAAATTATGTATTACGTCTGCATGTTGCGTAATACTTGTCTATGTTCAAGAGATCTTTCCTACATTTATGAGATCAACTGGAATAGGTATTGTAGCTGGTGTAGGTAATATTGGAGCAGTATTATCTCCTCTCTCCTTACTATCGGTAATTAGTTGTTAAATAGAAGCAAATACAATAATATCTATTATTCTGATTTTTTTCTATCTAATATACAACAGTCGAATCTAGACATAACAAAGTATTGGATACCCACGACTATTTTTGGATTTGTTAGCCTGTCAGCGGGGTTCTTTGTTCTTCTCCTACCAGAAACTATGGGAAGAGAGTTGCCGTCAACGATCGAAGATATCCTCCATATGCCTTACAGTTTAAATGAAGAGGAAAAGCGTAAATCAAGGCAGACTGCCTGGTCGATTTTTAAGTGTTCATTCAAAGATATTGAAGAAGAAAAGCACGAAATGAATGAAAGAATGAAGGCAAACACTAATAAATCAGATAATCTCTGATTATAAATCCTGTAGACCAAAGTAACAGTAGTACTATTTCGCTTTGATAATATATTTAATCAGTTTCTAAACTAAAACTCTATTATATTTCATAGAACTATTCAAATTTATACTTATATTTTGTTTATAAGATCAACGTTATGATTCTTCGGTATAAACACAACGACCATTTTCTCCGCAATAAGCCCAAACATTAGCTAATTCGCTAAAGCATTCATCATCACTTTCACAAGCAGAATGTTCTTCGGAGCCATTAACAGAGACGTTAACGCACTGTCCATTATCACCGCAATATGACCACTCATCGTCAGCTTCAGAAAAACAATCATAATCGTCACTGCATTCAGCTCTCTTTGCAAGATTGTTGCTATTTGTTAAAAATCTTCTTAATAGAGATCTTGATCTCTTATTATCGCTCCTTTTTAAAGCCATCTAAAAATATTAATATATTTATTTATTTCTTTATATTCAAACATTAATTTGTAAGAAACTTACCGACATGGCTACAAGGCAAACAAGTAAAATAATCGACTTTTTCATAATAATTTGTCTTCTTTTTTCAATTCAAAACAATGAATTATAAGAGAAAGAAAGCTAAGAGTTATTTGAAATAACTTTTCCATGATTCGAAGTTTATATAATCCTCATAGAAAATGAGCTATTTCCGAAATAACAATGTAAATTACAGAAAATTAGACAATCATAAATATCTAAATTACGCTAAAATACATACAGAAAAGATTATTTCTTTTTTATTTTTTTTTAAATAAGCTATTAACTCTTTAACTATTTAGTTTTAAATAGTTAAATTTAATTAATCCTATTCTATACTATTAACATAAAAACAATAAAAAATAATAATACATTTAATCTTCCTTAGTTGTTCCTTCAATTTACAAGAGAAATACATTGATATGTTTTGAATATTTTATTAATGTAACTAGAAAAGGAAACATATATAATATATGCTGTATATTCAGTATATATATATATATATATACAGTTTTGTTGTCTTCTATTATTGTTATTATTAATAATTCATTATTTAAATTATTAGAATTAATTAGTCTATTATCTTTCATTTGGTTCGCAAATTTGGCAACATATTTATAAATATATATACATATATACTGTATATATTTACTGTAGGATGTGTATTTTTTACAGTTTATACAGTTTATTGTATACAAATTAATATAATCTATTAAATTGTTGTTTGATCTACAGTTTCTTCCAGAAATCTTCTCCTCAATCTATCCCTATTGAACAAGCAATCCTTTAAGTTTAAGAAGGGTAGCTCAACGCATATACAGAAAAATACTGCAACCACTATTGATACAGTCATACAACTTAGAAAGTCGAATATCTGTATGCGAAAGAATGAGAGTAAGAATAGGATACGGAGGATTTCTTTAACATATATAATTAATTTTAGCATATAATTAAAAGATACTAATAATTACCATTTCAGTAGTGTTAAATATTCGATCGTATTTTATAGCTGAATATAGAAATACTACTGCAAATTGATAAACTAAGAATATACTATAGCCTAAACGATTCAATGGAATAAAGAATTTAAAGGAGAGGAAACTATTGATAATCCAGCCGTGTCCAGAGTTACATGCCCATATTACCCAACAAATACATAAACTCCATGCAGGCCTTTTCAATGTTTCATAGATTAAATATTCACTCTTTTTCCAAGGTTCTTTATTGGGTTGTATATCCAACCAGACTAAATACAGCATTGTAAGACCAGTTCCAATTGATAAAATCCAACCTACGACTGCCCATAGAAAGTGTAATTTAATGTTTTTAAATTTAATTACTAGAAAACCAATTAAAGAACCAAGAGCGTATGGTCCAATTCTTGTGTATGGTTTAACGTATATTTTATTATGATAATCATCGACGTTCAGTATATTATTTTTCTCGAAGCTAAAAGTTACAAGAAAGTAGAAGATAGAACAATTAAGATATAATATTAATATAACTTACACAAATTGATCTAAAATAACAGAGTTCGTTACGATATGTACAGATAATAGGAGAAGGATGAGAAAGAATGTCAAATAAGGAGTTCTATATATTTAAAACATAAAGGCATCAATAATTAAATTCTTTATATAATTTTTATACTTACAATAGAAAAAGAAACAAGGGAATACCAAAGATGAAATATAATTGCATTTCGACGCCCAGAAACCATGTTTGTTTCATACACTTTAAAAAGAGTTCAATCGATAAATCAATACTTAATTAATTAAGACAATTATTAAATTACTAACAATCTCTTTAACTGGAAAGAAATTATTAATAAATAATAAAGTTCTCCACCAATAACTTTCGCAAAATTCTTTATCAGTTTTTGAATAATCAATCATTTCTTGCATTTGGGCAGGACCTGTCTTTAATCTTGGAAAAACAAATGTATAAAACAATAGAGTTGCTCCAAGAGCTGGTAGTATTCTCCATAAACGATTTACTATATAGAATAATATCAATTGCACTTTAGATTTGTTAGATGACGTTAATTTATATAATATATTATATGCCACTAAAAATCCAGTTATTACAAGAAAAGTATCAAAAGCCAATTGAGAATATTTAACTGGTACAAACGTAATATATTCTTCGGCAGGTATTTTAATATTATTACCTTTTTACAAAAAGATATATAGTATATCTATATTTCCTACAACTGTTCTTTAATTAATATAATATACCCATAGCACTTAGAGATGAACGATAGACGAAATTCAAAACTATCCATGTGATAGTTATAAATCTTATCCCATGAATTGAGGAAACGTGTTGAGATGGAAGATCGAGATTGAAGAGTATTTGTATATTTTGAATAAGTGAAAAACAATTGAACGGTAGTAATATCTTATCTGATATAATACATTTAAAAATAAAAATAGTTATATAATACGCATTTAGTTTTGTTATTTACATGTTATTGTCGAAAATGTTTGTTTCCTAGCATCTGCAGATGGTTTCTTCCTTCTTAATTTAAATAGATAACAATAATCCATAATTGTTGATGCAATAATTAGGCAAATCAAAACAGTAAAAATAGTTCTTTATATTAAAAAAGAAAAAGTAAGAGTTAATTACGTAATATATAGAAAAGTAATATAGATATTTTACACTGCAACAACTGGTTTAATATCATCTTTCCATGATTTTAATTTCTTTTCAACTGATATCAAGTATGATTTAGTACTTTGGTACTTACAGCTAAAGTTACCTGATTAATAATAAATATTCAATATAGATTGAAGTATATTTATATTTGGTATTCAAACTGCAAATAAATTAGTAATTTCTTCATTGATTTACCTTCTATAGACTTTAATAAAGCATAACATTTTGGTGTTGCGCAAATTGCGATTTGATAGGACGCCATTGATTGAGTTTCATTTATCAAGCTTGAATCATAAATTGAAATAAGTGTATAATGGCCTTTAATAATCTCAAAACTTGAATGATTGCTTATGTTTTCAGATATCTTTATACATTTATCATAATCGCCCAGCCATTTATTAACTTTAGGCCAGTATAGACCACTACCGTGAGATTCTTCTACTATAAAATGAAAAGAACATAGAGAATAGATATTTAACAATTTATCAAACGAAATTGAAATTATAAAGAAATGTAGCATATGAATGAAAATATGCAAAACATCGATTACTTACATTCAACAGCCCATTTTACTCTTTTATTTAAATAATCGTATATCACTCGTCTTTCTCTTTGACATTGGTAAGATTTAGCTAGAATATCTCCTTCAGGAGAACATTTTATTTTACTTTTTATTAAATTATCTATCGTTATCTGCGCCAAAGTTCTTCCTAGAACTTGATCTTGAGACAAACTAGCACAAATAAAAGCTAATTGAATCACTATAAGTGAATTCCTCATCCTTCTCTAGACAAATGTTATATCTCTTTAAAAGTTAGTGACGTATATGTAAATTAATTTTCAAAGGTATGTAAGATAAAACGAAGAGAAGAAAGGGTGTGTACAAGATTTATATTGTAAAAATTCGTATTCAATACAGTATTTGTTTTATTCCTATAGGCTTAAAATTTATCTTTTTAAGTGAGAATTGATATACTGTACATGTAAGATAGCTTAATGGGTTCTTTTTTGTGTGGGCTAAAATGTAAATAATAGATAAGAAAGCACATTTATATTTAAACTTAGTAGGCCTACTTTTTTCATTAATTATTTTTAATTAATTGAATAGCGACTAAAGTATTCCAAATACTGCAAATAATAGGTTTTAACCCATTTTAAACATCGTCTGCTTGTTCCCAAATCATTATTTCTAACTTATAAAGATTTGTTCATCGTTTATCGATGCAGTAAAGAAAATAATTGTATTCCAAAAGCAATTACAAAACTCCAGAGAACAATTTACTGTTTAACTCCACGACCTTAAAAATGATTAATATGCATATTAAATAGTAGCTTTCCATATACTGATTTAAGTGAAATACGTGATACATTTTATAAAAGCGTAGAAACGAAAAATACTACAAAAAGTCTCTTTTCTATGTTCATTTTTTTTCTTCGGGTATCAATCATCGTGTTAAGAATATTATCCCTTCATCATAGCAAGCTAGACTGGTGTTAAAATAATCAAAAGTGAAATTATCGTATATCAAAGGCGTTGGGCCAACGTAAAAACCCAACAGACTTCAGATTGAAGTAATCTTCTCTGAGAAAAGTGTGTAATTGAAACTTGGTAATCACTGTATCAATGTCACAATGTTGATTGTTGACTTATTTATATAAACAATCAAACCAATCAGCACTTCACACTTGCGCACATTCCCTCTCTCCCTTTTACACTTTTTCAATCTCCTTCTTCAATTTACAATTATATTAAACCATATTGGGATGTGAGGTGTCTTTTCCAACTTAATTGTGATAGTGTAGATATTGAATGTTTCTCCATTGAGTATATATAGATCATCTATGAGCCTATGTAGAAGAGACAGTAGGTTTTTAAATAAGTGTGAATAATTTTAGTGCGCAAATAGACAAATGTTTGTCTTAGAAGGCAATTTTGAATAAATTATCATAATGATCATAATTACAAGGGAAAAATTCATTTGAGGATATTACCATTTCTCATTAAAGTTAGTTGATAAGTAGCTTCTCTGCACTATATAAAAGATATGATTTTTCATTGAAATGAATTGGATAATTTAACTAAATAAGCAAAAATCCACCTATCATTTGTCAAAGGCTATATATTAATGTTGAGTATAGTAATCTTTTCTGACACTAAGCTGTAAGAGAAACTTGGTAATCATTGTATCAGTGTCAAAGTGCCAATTGTTTACTTATTCACATAAACTATCAACCAATCAATATCTTATACCTACAAATTCATACAGTATATTCAGTATATGTGTGTATATGTGTATACTGTAAATATATGTAGTCGTTTATCATAACGCCTAATCATTGGCACGTCGCTAATGTTTGCAGTATTTTAACATTTAGTTGTTTTTACATTTAACTTTACGTTTCTAATGTTTCTATGCCGAATAAGAATAGAATTCAAATGGCCACCGGCGCCAATGATCCAAGTCTATTGGACTCAGAAGCAGTACCTCAAAGGGACATGACGACCGAATCATCAACCACATTTGATAGACTGGAGGAGCAAAGAAACAAGTGCGAGGAGAGGTTAACGGAGATGACCGTCCAGAACAAATTAGTGATCAATATAATGAAAGCAGAGATAACCGCCCCGATGGAACGTATCATTCAAATGATAGGTTCTAACCAAACAAATTTTACCAATGAATCATGTAAGTCATCTGTCCCTATTCAAGCGCAAGAGACGGAACACGTCGTAACGGTTAAAGAACAAAATTGCGAAATTCGAACATCCAAAGTCCTCACGAAGAAGACGACAGAATACCATCTACCAATGGTCCCTTCGTTAATCAACAAACCGATCCTGGTCCTTCAACGTACGATTCTACTGCCCAAATAGAAAGATTACCGCATCCAAAAGGTCTAACGGTACTAACTATCAACATTTCTACAAAACAGTACTTATTCCACTGATGGAAGCTAACATTGAAGATTCGGAGAAATGTTTGATTGCAAATCGCTGGATGACTGACAAAGTATGCAGTAACGAGTTTCATGATGATGATGACAAAGAGAGTTTCTTATCTTTAGTCAAGAATTTGAATTTTGCTTATTGTGATGCTTCATTATCTAGAAGAACTGACTTAGAAATAATCTTCAATAGAAGTATACCCTTCCAATCCGATAACATTTCAGACTGGATTGAATTCAAGGCACTCCTTGTACTTCGAAACTCACCTAAAAACGGAGATCATACACAATATGAAAGACTTAATCGATATGTGAACAGATTACCACCATATATTTAAAGTTAAACATCTCCTTTTCAAATATCTTGATGATTTTAGTTAACTTACAACAAAACTAGGAAAAATCATAGAAAAAACTATTAGAGCTATCCCAAATGGGCTTTATATTTCTCATACAGTAAATACAGCAGTTGTAGCATCTAGGATAAAAAAAAGGTTTCCGACGACACAACAAGAAAGCCAATATACAAACGTCAATATACAGAGTTTGGTGGCAAGTACCCTTCCCAATATAAAACCAGCAGACCCACAAACGAGGACTCAACAAATAAGCTTCTGTTTGACCTATTGTCCATTTTATATAAATGCCAACTTTGAATGAAGAAGGAGACTAGTTCAACTCCTTAACCATTGTTCTAACTGTCTACGAAGTGATCACACAAGCGAAGATTGTTCATCTAAGTTTCATTGTAAAAAATGTAATCAACCTCATCACACTAGTCTACATGATCAAATTTTGGCCTCCAAATCAACTTTTCCCATCAGTACAAATGACTCCAATCACTTCGATAAAGCTGAGGAAATAGATCAGAGCCAACATACGATATTTACACCGGACATACCAAGGTCGAAAGAGATGCTAAAAATATAATCCCCTATCTCTTGAACCAATTTCGTTTCATTCCTTCCCCCTTGGCCAGTATAGTCGTTGACTACAACGCCCAGTCATTGGGACATCGCCAATGTTTCCAATATTAACATAAAGTTTTTTCACTTAAAACAACTAATCATACTTAGTTACAATCGTAACTCAATCGAAAACATATATAGTATATATATATATTAGTATAAATTTATATATACATAAACATCAAGCTACTAGAAATAGCTAATTGGAATTATTTACTCCATCACATGATTCTAATGTTTCAATCATCAATTATTTTATACTATTTCAATTGAATATCTTTTTATTGAATATTCGTCTTTTTACATTTAAATAAAAAATTATAAATTCAATTTTTAGTTGACAAAAGGAATAATTCAAGATTCGATAACGGTTCTTGAAGTCCGAATATAAAGAAGGTAGACAATGAAATTGTCCAAGCTATGCATTTTAAATAATGCAGAAACTAAAAGGGGAGAAAAAAAACATTATTGTTTATATATATAAAAAAAAATATATTACTATTTCAGTAGCGACGTAATTCTGATTATATCTTTTTAAGACCAAACTTAGAAATACCATTGGCCAATTTAGTACACAAAATATGGTTAGTATCCATATAAACCATAGAATTTTTGTTTTTGGAAAAAGTTTTTCAACGTTATCGTTGTAATTGCAAACGTTTACTATCAAAGTGATACTTAACGTCCATATAAATCTTTTATATAATTCAGCATCTCCAAAGCTTTGAAACGAAGAGTACAGAACATTCAAAATAACCAAAATAATAACCGTGGCCCGCCAAATATTTAAAAAAATTGAAGATTTAAAGCTCTTCGTACGATGAGTGAGTACAGCATAGAAAACTCCAATGATAAACGGATATATCCTTGTGGATGATTTATTGTAAGCAAATTGCCAATAATCAGAAACAATAACTCCTTGTGAATCGTTCATAAATCTTTAATTTAATGTTAAAGAAGTTCAATTAGTTAGGTTAAATACTTGTATAGTATAATGTTACTTTAATTTATCGCAAAAAATAGCATAGATGGTAAAAAGAGTAAAAGGAAGTTGTATAATTATTGAATTTGATATTAAAGATAAACTGAAAAAGTACATTTAATACAATATAATTTGTAAAGAGTTCTTTATTGATGTATTACTTACATGACTAGTAAAAACTTCGATATCAATATAATCAAAATATTTATATTGATTGTTGAATACCAAAATTCAACAATACACTATTGTAATAAAAAAATAAATATGCTTATATTTAGCTAATAAATATTCATGAGATAATTATATTTACCTGACTCTTCAAAGAGAAATAATCGGTTATAAAAAAGATATTTGTCCACCAGTACTTTTGGCAATTCGTACTATTAAATATGTCTACTGTATCGTTATTTTTCCCCTGTATATTTAATACATCGCAACCAAAAATAGTTCTTGGTAAAATATTACTATATAATAATAAAAATTCAGGTAAAAATTGAAAGAATCCAATAAGAAGTTGATAAATAAATATCGAATTTAGATGTTTTTGTGGTAAACTGGTAATTAAATCTAATTTATTCAAAAATTTATAGGTCGCTACCAAACCACTTAGAACAAAAAATGTATCAAATGCTAATGTTGATATTAGTTTTTCCCTGTTCGTAAAGTCATTTTCAACAGCTAAAAATAGATGAAAATTGAGTTATTAAAGTAATTGAGTAATAATAATACTGTATAATATACCAGCTGAAAACTTGTTAATTTTCTTAAAAGTCATAAATAAGATAATTATTAATCTTAGATTATTAATAATTATTATATATTTATCAGAATTTCGTGAATTGAACAGTTTTGAAGCATTTTCAATGAATGAAAAGTATTTTGAAAGGCGTAATAATTTAACTGAAATAATTAAAAATTATTATTATTGAATACTTCAAAAGAGATGAATGAGAAATGAAAAAACTTACAATTGTCAATAGAAGATTTGTATTTAGAGATTATTGTTGATATGGAAATGATTATAAATAGGAATATTGTAAATGAGCTAGTAGGAAGGGATTAAGGGTTCATATCAATTTTCTTCTTTTCAAATATACTATTCAACTAACTAACCTTAGAAATAAAAAGGAATAATCAACTTGTAATAATCTTAAATCCTCTTCAGCTGAATATGAAATGTCTTCGTAAAGCGATGAAAAACATTGTTGATTCGAATCTAACATTTTGTTAAAAACATTAAAATATTAAAAATGATAATAACTGCTTACTTATTATCTGTAGACTATCGTAGCACTTGGGCGTTGCACAAAAGGCTGTTATATATCTTTTCTGATTTTCTTTGACCTTCACTCTAATAAGAGAATATAATCCTCGAATTGTGTAGTTTGATGAACTTTTATAATTTCTTAATTGAATATTAACGCTTTTACAATCTCTATAATCCCCAAACCAATAATTACTACGCAAAGTATTACTCGAGCTCTGTCTACCATGAGAACATTCAACTGTATTAATAAATAGATTATTATTTATACACAATTTATAGAAAAAATACTTACGCTGTAAAGCCCAAGGTTTTAATTTTCCGACATTTTTACTTATCAATTGACGTTCGAAATGACATTCTTTTATTTTTTTGACTGTAGGACTATCAAATCTTGAACAATTTTCACTTAATTTTAATAAATTTTCAATTAATTTTAGAGTGAAAAACTCATTGCTAAGAACACAACCGATAAACCCATTGATCATAAACAGTTTAGCCAAAAACATTGAAACTTTACTTATAATTTTAGAGATAAAATGAGAATACTACTTTTTTTAATATAATACTTTGAACAATCACACTATAGGTTAATTTTATCTCTTATAGTTATAAATAAAAACTGACTTGAAAATGTACCAATGCCTACTGCATGTTTTTCAATACGGTTTTTCAATATGATGAGGAACAAATAACCTAAATTTACGATTGTTAAACTTCTGAAAGAAACTAAAGCAAATAGTATATGAAGGTCTTTTCATATTAATTATTATAGATCTAAAGTATTTATATGTAATATAAAGGAAAAAGATTAGTATGATTAAATAATTATAGCCCTTAATATTGTTGTAAATGATTTATAGAAATTCAAATTTTCAATATGAAAATATCTCATTTTAGCCTTCCCCTTGAATTTAAAGAAATACATGTCTTTAAGTCCATTTTTAATTCAATTGAATATTATTTTATTCTCTCCTTTTAACTCTTTTGTATTGAATCATTGCTGTGCTTAATTTCTCAATGGAAAAATGAATAGGAAGTTTTATGCCAACTTTACTCCTATGATTGATTATGTCTCTTTCCTGAGCTTTTCCACTTTCTCTTTCTCAGTTGTTCATTTTTTACAAAAGAAATATCTAATATTTCTCTCCCAAAGATTTATGACACCTTCCAAATAATCAATTACTCTATCACTTCTGGAATAAGTACATTTTACAAGTCCTTAACTGTGTAGATGTTATATCAACTATATATAGATTTATAAATTTATATAGTATTTAATTATTCGAACACGTCATTCCTCTAATAAAATTTCTAAGAAAGTATATGTTCATCTCAACTTATTTATAATAAACTAGAGGGAGCCATTGTCAAAAGATAAGTTCAACTTTCTTTTCGAAGATTTCCTTAAATCGTTGAAGATTCGTATAGTAAACAAGGGTAAGTTATACCTTTAGTTTAGCCTAATAGAATAATTTGTATAATATTTCATTCTTATCTCTGTTACGTAACCAACAGACTAACTAGCTAGTTGAATATTAAATTAATTATTTAAATATTTTAAAAACGCTTTTCTATCTTCCTCTTTAGTGACAACTTTGAACAAAAATAGTGAGATAAGAAACATTAGAATCTAAATTAAAGAATGAAAAGATGATTTAAGGAAAGTCAAAAGACTAATGTTTGAATTTGAAATTAGTATATAATCTATTAGAAATTTCGCCTTTTCTGCTTTAGAAAAAGTATACGCTAAAGGAACGTGGGAGGAAAGAGCTAACATTAACCTAAAAAGAAAATATATATATAAATGTTATAGTTAGTGACTCATTACACTTGGTATTGTGGAAGTTCTGTTAATTCTGTGAACAAGTTAAAATCTATTGAAGAGACAGTAAAAGAGAGAGAGAGAGAGGGCAAGTTCTTTTTTCAGTTTTGTTTCTTCTTCATCTTTATAAATATGAACGGATACGTGAAAAATGTCGCCATTATTATATGTGGTTTTTGCGTGGTCGTTCTTCTATTCAATTTTTCTACTAATAAGACAATAATAAGGAAGTTTGGGCCTATTCGTGAGTTTAGAAATGACAATCTCATCTATTGGTCATCGAATATAACCCAAATATTTCCAGTCTGCTCTGAATTGTACGAAGAGTTTCCTGAATTTAAACCGGCTATGACAATAGAAGAATTAAATGCTACTTTACAACTTTTGAAAGAATTCGATTATATTAGCAAACAACATCAGCTTCACTATCTGTTAGTATTTGGATCTAAATTAGGTATATGGAGACACCATGGAATAATACCTTACAACGATGATATAAATATTGTTATGCTTAGAGAAGATCAAGAAAGATTTCATAATATAATTGAAAATTTAAATTCTGATTATCTTCTATCAACTGGAAATCATAGATGGAAATTTTACAATAGAAATATGAAAACAATTAAATCTTTTAACTATACATGGCCATTTTTAGATATATTCTTTCTTAGTGACAAATTTGGAAAACTATGTATAGATGATTTAACAATGTTGACCTGTTTTACTAAAAAACAGTTCTATTTCGGAAAGAGAAGACCATTTTTAACTATAGACTTACCAGTAACTAGAAAATTTACAACTGGAGTAATAAAGCATCCTAAAGATTTAGAAATATGCGAAAGTATCCATTGGAATCATAAAAAAGAAACACCAAAAAATCGGGTAGTTGTTGCTAAATGTTCAATACTGAAGAAATGTTTACCAATGGTCAAACGTCTAAAACATCCTAAATGCTCATTAATAGAACAATTGGTATTTGACGAACATATTCTTTCTCAAATATGCTTGGATAAGAAATTAAGATAAATAGATCTTTTTAACATTAATCATCTATTTTTAGTTCATCTGCCACTTAAACTCTCTCTCTCTCTGTATGTATATGACTTGTGCCTTTTATACTTTTTCATTATAACAAATTCGGGCATTCAAATTATAATATCTAAATGGCGTTAACTTATGTGAATACGTTATAAAAATAGACCAATTTTAGCCTATTCCTCACCTGTTTGGTTTTAGTATTTAGTCGAAGAACAAAATTGGGAAAGAAAAAAAAGTATTGAACTCTTGAACGTAAAAGGAGAAATTTTGTTGGATAGATTGAAAACAATTTATGACTATTTAATACTTTAGGAAATATACAAGAAGTTTAATGTTTCATAAATAATACAAAAAGGAATTCGTTCTCTTTTATTTTCTTCTGCTTATATTCAAATAAATATAAATACTATTTATAGATATCAAACATTTTCTTCATTCTCCAGACAAATTGGACACGTAGAATCATTTTTTAAACAATTTTGATGAAAAATTGATTTACAATCTGTTAATGTTAAAGAAAGAAATATAATTAATTATTATTCAAAGTCTTTTTCTTCGGTACTTACTTATACAACGGCAAACTTTATACGCATCAAAAGGGAATAAGATATCGTTACTCTTACATAATTCACAGTAGGCTCCCTTAGCTTTGCATAATTTACATTTTCCAATGTGGGATTTACAAATTTTAACAATTCTCGATAGAGTAAACAGAAAATTTCCTTTTCCAATTTGAACTAAATCAAATACTGTATAATCATCACGAGAATTCAACCAATGCAGAGGTAATTTTTCAATTTCTCTTGCCAAACTAAAGAATAAAATAGAATTATTGCTTATAAGATAAATATACCAAAAGGAAAAAATATAGGATAACATAATCTATACTATTATGAGGTGTTGTTTTACCTTGGATTCTTTAAACAATTTTCCGTAATATATGAATAAATGATCAAAAAGTAATATCGTAACCCTCGAATTTCGTTTAAAACACGTACTTTATCGAATAATACTGGATTCCAGTCATGAAGGTTTAAAGACCACTGTTCAATATTATTACATTCATGTAGTATTAAATTTTTAGCAATATTTGAAACTGGATATGCTTGTAAATCCCATTTTCTTAATATTTTAGCTGGAATGAAGCATTTTGAGTTGTCGTGGCAACATAAACAAAAATATTTTCCGAAATAGTAGCAAAATCTTAAACCGGTAAAAGTTGCTTTGGATATCTTAATAATAGAGATCAGCAAATGAATAGAATTGAGTTTATATTAATTCATTATATTAATACTTACGTCTGATCCGCATCCGACGCATCTCCGCTTTTGCATTGTTAATTGTATATTTAAATCTTTCGGTAATACGTACGAATTATAAATCAATTGAAAAGTTGGTGGACGCCAGTCATTTGTATTCAAATTCTCTTGACTATATTTGTTTCGACAACCACTTCCATGGGAATGTCTTCTTAATACACTTGAAAAAGGTGTTTTTTGGAGGGAAGATGAAAAAGGTAAGTTAGAAGCTGAAGATAATACAATGGACTCTCAGTAATCTTCTTTATTCAAATATAAAAAAGATCGTTTCTCTTTGAAAAATCAAATTTTGAACTTACGGTTAGCTTCACAATTATTCTTGAAGATAGGTGATGACTTCCTCGTTTTCTTCCAAGGATATAACAATACTTCACCGTCTAATATTTAAATATGTTAAATTATTAATATTATTCATGTTTATGAACGTGTAAAAAAATTATTACCATATATTTTGAACGTTAAATTTGTAAAAATCGAATAAATCGAATCTTTAAAATCGATATTGTTATCGTCTTGGTCTGTATAAAAGTTGTTTATTCGATACCTCTAGATGTTATAAATAGTATATTCGTCGTAAATAGCATAAATATACAATTGAATATACAAGACATACAGTTTTAATGTAATTTAAGGAATTATCTGCTATCTCTTTCAAATTTAAAGTCGACATTGAGCAATCATTTAAATCCCTATCCTTTAGGCTAAAAGACGAGTAAAATTCCAATTTATTTACACAATAAACAAATAGAACAGAGTAATGATAATATAAAGAAAAAAACCTCAAATTTGTCGAATGCTCAACATTAAAATTAGTATTCGAAGCAGATTCCATCTCAAATTCCAAACTGGCGTCTGTAAGTTCCGAGTTAATATCTAACACGGATCCACCATTTTCACTTGCCAAAACACGTAAACAGGCTTCTCTGGAAGTTAATGAACTCTCAATAAAATAGGGTGAATTAATATTAGGTTTAAAACTGGAGGGTACAGGTAAAACAGGTTTGGGTGCGAAATCTTTTAAATCAGGAGCAAATGGATCAATCTTTTTAAGGTTCTCCATGAAATTCTCTTATAAATAAAGGTATGAATACTTCCCCTTCTTTATATGTATAAAAAAATTACAAGTTTGAGCCTATCAGTTCTTCTCTTTACGAATAAATAAAATTCCACACGAGAAGCTTTTGTAAGTTTTCTAAGTATTTGCTAGAATAGCTCCTAAGAGGTAAAATATAAAATGCCAAAAATAGAGCCTCCCTTCATCTTATTACTATTACAGTTAATTATTTAGTTATTCAATTAGATAGAAATAAGATAAACCCCATTCGTAGTACTCCACAATTCTAAATTGAATGTAGTCTTTATTATATATCAACCCAAGATAAACTATAATTACGATAATTAATAGAGTCTTATAATAAACGAAAATTCTTCCCTTAGAATTAAAGGGATAATATGCTAATTAGGTTTATTTTCTTTATATCTACTGATATATTCCGCAGCTAGTCGTATGTTAATTTCAAAAGAATTTTATATAACTTTAAGATTCGTCTATCTGTATTAGTAATTAGCTTTTAATGACTACTAGGACAGTTTCTCTCTTTGATTTATTTTCTTCGTATGTTTCAACTCTATCCCTATAATAAACCTTTTTCTTCTTCACTTCTTCTATTCACACTACACATGTTACATATTTTATGTAATAATTGATAAATTCCAATATAGCAAGGTACATTGAAAACTTTTGCTGAAGTTCGTTCCGAGAAATTGAACATCTAAAATCTACTATAACTAAAGTGGCGCCATCTTAGCTCACTCAGGCTAGGAGTGTATTATTCATTTATTTTTTTAGAAATTTAAAATATTGCTTGTTCACTTATGTAGGTATAATACAGTCACAGCAGTGACCTCTGGTGCAAGAGAAAGCAACAAATAAGATATACGCTACTATCATAACATCTAATAATACTAGATACTTATTTTATTCTTATTTTCATTTAATACAGTATAATAAGTTTATGACTAGACAGCCAACTGTAAAACATAAGAACAAAGAAGAAATAAGGAGAACATTTTTGCAAGTTTTAGAAGCGAGACTATAGCGTTGTGTAGATGGGAGGAACTGTAGTAGTGGTAGGGGGAAAACAAGTAATGAGAAATCTAAGCCTTCTTCCCTTTACCAAATTTAAGGGGAATCCTTTTAAAGACTGATGATTTGTTTGTTTTGAAGCAGAACGAATCTATAAATAGAAAAATAATATGTTTAACAAATTGTGTATATTATACAATATATATATATATATATATATTAATATTGTATCGAATAAATAAACAAAATGACGAAAAGGATTTAATAATAGAATACAATAGCTTATTTATTACTATTATTAAAATATACTATAGAATTTCAGATGATAGTAAATCGTACTCGTATGTTTGTAAACAAAGGTTAAAAAGTTGAGTTTTTAAAGAAAATGGAATAATTAAGTATGTTAACTGTCGTTGTATAATTCTATACTATATATATTCAGATATAACAGTTAGTAATAAAATATAGAAATATAGCTTACCCGGACTTGACCAAAATTCAATTTTTCTTATATTACGCTTCCTTCTAAATATATTTCTTGATTGAAATACTTTTCCACAATCCCATAGTCCAATGTAATTTCTTCTTCCAGTTGAGAAAACTATTAATATACCCTGTTGATCTTTTATTTTATTTGCATCCTTAATAACTAATGGATCTCCATATTTCTCAGAGAGATATTTTGAAAATTCAGTTACTTTGTAGATATAACGCTTTCTGTTCTTTCCCACTATATAGCTCGGCGGATTTTCGATTGTATGTCGTCCAGAGTAGCGGTTAAGTGTATAAGATAACCTCAATGACGCCGTATTGTGTATTCTCAGTTTAGGTGCTTGATTACCTATTGTTTTCTTAATTTTAGAGTTATTGTAATTGCCTCCGAATCGGTCGTATCCAGGATAAAGAAGTTTTAATTGTTTAAACTTTGGTAGTTCGACCTAGTTAAATAAATAATATAAACATTCAATGAGAAAAAATTTTAACCACTTATTCGAAATCGATTATCAAGTGTTACGTAATATGTTGTAGATAATTAACACTCGAACTATAGGTAAAAGGTATTTGTTCAAATTCTTGAACAAACGTCTTACGTAAGATCAGCTAAAGCTGAGGTGGAAACAAGAAAATTTTTCCGAACGCTTGATATTAGTAATAGAAGAAAGAGAGCTTAGAAAGGAGATTTCTTACGGTCAGTATGTAATTTTTCACGCACAAAAACATCTATTAATGGTTGAGATGGTCGGAAAAATTGAAATGTCAAAGTCTATTCAATCCGAAAATCTGATAGGAATAGCTCCTACTATTGAAAACTATTCGAAATTTAGCTTAGTCCAATAGGTTAACTTATAAAAGGAATCGTTTTAGCCCACTAACTAATATATATAGGTAAGAAATTGCATCTAAATGAAATTTATCTTGTTATCTTTTGCACCCGCCTCCTATCCACCTACGGTCTGCCCTCTTTACTCTCTCAACCTCTCTCCTCTCTTTTAGTGCCAGGTGTTAATAGGCGTTAGTGGAAATAAACGATAAAGGTTACGCTTAAAAAGGGAAGGAAACGGAGGTGGGGGGCCATAATGCATTTTGATTGGTTGCGAGACATAAAGAAAAATCCCTCTAAAAAACTCTTGAATATTAATGAACCGTAGAAGAAAAAGAAGTTGCCAGATGCCATTTACATATAAGAAAGAGAAAACTCACTTTTTCTTGCCTTAATACTCTCGTGGTTAAAGAGGACGTTGGTCGAAGTTTACATTGAACAAACATAAAATTGTTTACAACAAATAAAACAGTTTTGTGGGAAAGATATAAAAGAGGAGAAAAAGCTTGAACGGATGGATAAAAGAGAGCCGTTTTTTTTTCTCTATTCTTCTTTAAAAATTCTATGCACTACGGTTGATAATACACATAAATTTCTTTTATAATCTCATACGTTCAAAGACTCTACTCCCACTCCCTTATATTTTCCAATATACATAGTGTATTTATAATATAATATTCAAACATTAAAGATAAGACGAAGGGAGAGAGAGAGAGAGAGAAGAGTACTGAAGGAGTTGTATAAGCTAAAAACAGTTTCCTGCCCATGAATGGGCTACAAATGAAAAGTATATTTACTTAAGAAATTTTCTTACATGATGTTTTTTATTAATAATTTGTGTGTCTTTCACAAAGACCTTTCTATATATTAATAACAAACATATAGGTAACTTCTCTTCTATGAATTCTACTGCTAATGTAATAATTACTCACCTTACAAAATATCTCTTGTAAACCAATTATTAATAAATATACTAATAGAATTTTCATTTTGTTCTTTTTGTCATCCAGGTATAATATCTTGTTTCTATAAATATATATTAATATATTCGTATTCCTCTTGTAAGATAATCTAAATAAAGTAGTTGTATATCTTCGTTCTTAATCCAAATACTGTTTAACTTTCACAAATTTTTATCAGATAATCATAAAATTTTCTTATCTAATCAGCTCTTTTTTTCGAAAAGTACTTTTTTCAAGCGTCGTTCTAGATGCTCTCAGACTATTTTACCATTGTGGTGTTCGTTTTCATTTAATTTTTGCCGGCTTTCCTAATGTGCTGCCATCTATTTTAAATCTATACGATAGCTCCATCTGGTGAAAAATTCTCACATTTCTGTATTTATTTATCGAATTACATAACTTACAATAAATAAGTTCAATTGTAAAGGAAAGGTAAGGATCTAATTACTACTAATAGAATATTTATAATTTAGCATTTTGATTATAAATCGTAAAGGCTTTATCAAAGAAATTAAAGCAAAATTCTTTATACAATATCGGATATTTTCGTAAATGTTGTACATGATCCGAATCTTTTAACTGTAATGTTTCAATATCGAAGCTACCACCCGCCTTTCTTTTTCTGTTATCAATAAATTCCCTAACATCATCAGCGTATATGACATCATCTTTCTCGCTGTATATGTATCCTTCCGGCCATCTTACAGGAATATGTATTAAACCTTTGTAAACATGGTCGACTTTACCCCAAAAAGTTTGCCAAATAGCTTTTAAAACACTTCTTAAGATAAAAACAGCAACTTTTGCATATCTGTATAATAAAGGTGCGTTCATTGCAATTAAAGTTGAGTTAACGGCATTTATTCCACCCAGTAATCTCCTTTTACCAGGTGCAGAGTCAATAATACTTCCTATAATTTTCAATTCCTTGTAATTATCATTTTGTACTAAACGTCTGTAGATGGATCCTCCGCCATTACTGTTGAAAAATTTAAATTCATTATTAGATAAGTTAATTAATATCAAGCTATGGATGAAGTATTTAACAATATAACTATCTTATTAAATTGATTTTTATTTAATTGAACGATATTAATTAAATTTTAAAAAGGGCGTCGGATAGTTTAGAAACCCAGTTTATGACCTCAGGATTCTTATATAAGAAAAGTACCTAAAAGAATGTATGAGAACAGGGCGCTTTTCAACTCCCAAACGTTCTTGTAACTCTTCAACTATGTTTGCTGCGGCAAGAGTTCCAGTATCTTTAGAAGAAAACCCATCAGCTGCCGATACACAATATCTAGCTGTGATGCAGTTCTTTTCTTCCCAAATATCGCTATACTTGGAAACGTACTTGTCTATACCACCTGCCCATCCTATTACTAATATCAGCGGATCATTTAATTCAATTAATCTCTTCCTTAGTTCTTTATTTTTCAATTCATTTGACACAGGGAAATTATTTTTAGGTAAAGTAATTTTTAATATATTTCGCTTCGACATGTTAACCTCGTCGTCTGCTACCCAGTATCAAGAACAGAAAGGCCTATGAACATTCCTATTGGTCGAATAAAAGTAAATCCTTTGAATAAAATTAACGTCATTCTACTTATAAATGAGAATTTAGCCGGCATACACTGAATGGTAAATATGATTCTGTTAAATGTAACATTTTATTTATATTTTAAGCAGTAATTGTTATATTTTCTTTAATGAGAGTTACTTGTTGAAAGGTTAAAAAACCTTGAAATCTTTCAAGCTCAACTTTCAATAGAGACTTACTAGGAAAAGAACTTTTATCAATTAATTACTCTTAGAAGACATTAATGAATAAAAGTATTTTTATGTAATTTAATACAATTGTTAGGCTATTAAGTTTTACACTTATGACAACATCTTAATTTAAAGTAATTTTATATTGATTCTTTATTGTTTTATACAAGACTTTTCCCTTTGTTCTTCAATTTTAAGTTCATTAAACTTATGAAATGCTACATTAACACGACAAAAAAATTGATACAAAAATTACAATACAAAAGACTTAGTTAATTCATTAATAGATTCACCAAGACTGCTCTTAATCACTCTTAGAGCGAATCGGCTTTTCCAGGTAAGAACGAAGGTCGTCATCTATTACATATAAAAAAAATTCATTCATGTAAAACAGTACTAAAATTATCTTCGTACCAAACCAACTTCACATTACAAATTGTTAAATCAAAATAGATAAATAGATAATTAATTTGAACATAGACGCAAATTGCATAAAAATTCTATAAAATTCGAATTGATCTTGAATAGTTTGAATGAAAAAATGATGATGATTTTCATACAATTATTTCTTCCGGTTCGTTGAACAGATTCTATCCTCTATTATTACAAGAATGTCAGATAAAACTCGTTTAAAATGTTTCAATTATAATAATTAACGCTTACTTAATTTACTTTTATTTCTATTAAAACGTTCTTTTAAGACAAAAAAAACTGAATCGTTTCAATTGATCCCTTTCCTTTTAAAACAAAAACGTTTCGATCAATATCCTACGGTTACTGTATTCCTCAAAATAACTTTTTATTACTTAGCCTGAAACGCAAACACAAGTAACCTTCTTATGCTATCAAATTAACAAATGGCCGAATCTCAATATCGTTCTTTCAGTCTTCACAAGGAACTCGGTTAATTATGATGAAAAATTTTATCTTGGTTTATCTTCTAATTCGTCATCTCTATCCTCAAATTGATTGCCAATGTCCAACTGCCACTGGCTGGGGGGAAGGACCTCTTGGAAATTTTTGCTACTATATAAATCAATCTATAAGTAAAACGTGGGAAGATACTTTGTAAGTTTAATATGAAGATAGATGTAATGATTTTAACAAGTACATTAACTTTCAGGTCGTTTTGTTCTGCAAAAGGACTTACAATGGTTAGAATAAAGTCGGCGATAGAAAATACCGACGTGCAATCTTTATTACAAGGGATACAAAATCCAAATATCAAAAGTGGTTACTGGTTGGGAGTTAGAGACTTTGGTAAGTTTGCTCTGCTTTCTTCTTCTATAAATAGAACACTTAAACATTTCAGAGAATAAAACAAACGATGGCTATATATTACGCAATCGTTACGACGATGGAACAAAATTGCTATATTGGTTTTTTGCTGGCAACGTACCCAAGGTAGATGAAGCATTTGCAATGAAACTATCTCAAGGAGGAGTAACCAATGGAATTTGGGTTGAACAAAATCGCTCTGATTTGAACGGTGTTATGTGCCAAAAAGTAATAATAGCACTTAAACATATAAAAGATGTTAATTATTATAAAAATATGTTTATTTTGAGGAAAAACAATTTCTAACTACTGAAGATACAACAATAATGGCACCAACAACTCCGTCGGAGCTTTTCTTCGAAGAAACTACAACTCAGAGTATTATGGTTGTGTTTTATTATATTCTAACTATACTAATTTACTGTTTCGTCATTAAAGAAACGACAAGCGCTCCAACAACAACAGCCGTCCCATCAACAACAACAGCAGAATTACCTGGTAAATTTCTATAGATATTTTAATATTCAAATTAATCACGTTGAATTTCATAGAGAAAAGTCCAATATATGTTTTGGTGAAAAGGAAGTTCGATTCAACGTCACCAACAATTCTGGATAAGTTGAAGAGTCGATCAGTTATTAATTGTGCATTTTTTTGTGAAATAGCCACATCCTGTGTTGCTGTAATTTATAATAGTTTAACAGAACTATGTTCATTGTATCCAAATAGTCCTGATTCATTAATTAATTGTGAAACGTGTAACATCTACCTTTTGAAAGAATTGGTAAACTCGTAGAAAAATATTCACTTTGAAAGTGTCGAGGTATATAAGAAAAGCTATCGAAAGGCAGGATTGTCAATTTGTCAATTTTAGAAAAAAAGAGGCACAATACTCATAAGAGAAGATTCAGAGTTCACTTTTAATAATTAGTCAATAAAAATGTAGAAAGTATTTGTATGTGTTTGTTGACATATTTAAGGTAATAATTAAGCCAGTCAAATGTTTCTTTAATACTATTGCTGTCTTTTAACATGTAGAAAGAGAACGAAAATGTATTGCCAGTTGATCAACAGAAACCTTTAATAAGTTTTTAACTATTCTAATACAATCAAACATCAAATTATTTACTTTTTTCTATAAATTTATTAGAATTAAATAATAATATAATAAATAATTAAAAAGTGTAGACACCAATAGAAGACATTAACAATAGAAATAAAATAAATAGTAGTATTCAAAACGTATATTTGCTTGAATAAGGACGGTATCGAGAATTAAGTTGGTTAATTATTGTTATTTTTTAAAAGTACATTAAAAAATAGATCTAGTTATTATAAAAAATAAGTAAAGTATTGTTTTAGAATTGCTAATTGAAAAAGATAGAGATTTTATATATAGAAACAATTAAATAATCTCTTAATGATTATTTTTAAACGACGACATTCTTAATTATGGAAAAGAGTTAGATATAACGTATTTTAACTTCTTTGATATTCAATTCTATTACCTTCCAAATGGTATAGTTGAAGATGCCGGTCTAAAAGGTGCTCTGTCTTCAGAAAATTGTATTCTTGAAGCACTTTTACGTCTAGTCTCAGTTTCCTATTCAAGAAAAAGTGAGGAATGCTTTTAATTTACTAATATTGAATATTTATTGAATAAACTAAACCTTGCGTTTTCTCCATGCTTCATACTCCTCATTGGATTTTTCAATTTTTTCCTTATTCAATCGATATTCTTCCTCCTCCTTCTCTCTTTGTTTTCGTTCCTCTTCGTACTTCTTTCTTTCTATTTCTCTTTTCTTTTTCTCTTTCCTAATAGTAATAATCTCTTATTTAAATATATTAGGTCTTTAGGCTTTTTAGTCAACTGTAACTTACCATCGGTCCACATCAAATTTTTCTTTCTTCTCTTCCTTCTCTTCCGATTTTTTTCTTTGTTTTCTCTCTTCATCTCTTCTCTTATCCTCTTCTACTCTTTTAGCTTCTCTTTCACGATACAATTTTTCTTTTTTCCATTCCTCGAAAACTTTTTCCATCTGTTTTCGCTTCATTTCTTTTGCTTCCATTTCATCTCGCCTTTTTTCTTCATCTGACTTTTCTTTTCTCTTTTTAACGACTGGAGCTGAACGCTTTTTGTTTAACAGCCATTGCTGATACGCCTTTTCACCCATTTCTCTTTTAGACTAAATTATTGAAACAACAAGTTCAATCACTTAAGAAAAAAAGAGATAAAGAAATAGCTTAACCTTTAATTCTTCCATTTCTTTTAACTCTTTCTCCTCTCTTTCTTTTTTTTCTTGAGCCAATTTTAATGGATATTCCTTGCCTCTTGTTTTCTTCCATTCATTAAAAACAGCATCTCTAATTGATGAAGTACTGCTGAGGTCAACAGTATTAGTGTTTAATGGAAGAGTTTTTGACCCTGAAATCGTTTACATATAGATTTAACTTTAAACAATTGATTTAGTATAGAAATGAAACCTGAAATTTTTCCATAACGAGGGATTGGCTTATGCTTTCGTACCTTCTTCTTTTTCTCATTTTCGTCATCTTCAACATTCTCTTGCCTTTTGAAAATAAATTTTCGCTAAGTATACGTATTTATTTTAAATTCTAAAACAAACGTCTTGTCGCCATCGGCATCTATAGGTTGGAATTGAAATTGGGCATCTGCTACGGAATCTATGGCGGTACTATTCATTTTAGATTTTGCAGTATGAGCTGTACGAGTAGGAGCAGGCCTAAAGGTAGACATTAAAATAAAAATTTAAAAACAACTATAACATATAAATAGATAAATTGTTATATTACTGTTCAAGAGATTTTCTTCGAATAGGAACAGGGCTATGCTCTAAGTCTTGACAAATAGAACTGTCGTCTGCTTGCGGATTCCTTTGAGCTGGTCTTGGCTATGAAACATGATTGAAATAGAGTAGAATTGAAATTTTTTAACATTGATTTATTGATTCTTTTATAATTTTATTTAAATAAAACCTTGTTTGATAATAATAATGTAATTGATATATTTTAAATAACAAATTGATAAATACCTTATCCCTAGTTTCCTTGTCGGTATCGCCAAAATTGTCCTTTTCCTTATTCCTGTAGAATAAACAATTGAATAGTTGTCTTACCCTAACCCTTATTACTAGAATAATTTTATTGCATATTTAAATTCAATAAGACTAATTAATCGTTGTTCATACATCATACTAAAACTAACTTTTATGAAGATAAACAAACCTTTTTGGTACTCTTGGTTGAAATTTTTTTTCAGTAGTTTCGATACTCTTTCTTCTTGTTGGTTTTGGTGATTTTTTATCGTCGTCCATAAAATCAAATACTGAAGACTTCCGTCTCTCTGCGTTAAGCAAACGCAATAATTATGTTTTGCCAAAATAGGATATTTTTAATATTTATACCATTTGGGAATCTAGTTTCGTCTTTGTCATCATCTCTATCGTTTTTGGGTGTTCTCCTGCCATATTTTGACGTTTCCGTATTTTTTGGTGTAATTGATCGTCTTCTCTCATCTGTTTGTGAAATTTTGGGTTTTAGACAAATAAAGCAAAGTGTTTTTTATAGGTACCTTGGTAACGGTCGTTTCTATCTACTGGTGACTTTCTCCTTGAAAAATCTGGTGTCTTACGGTCGTTCTTATCATAAGGGGATCGTCTTGAGAAGTCTGATTTATTTCGATCTCTTTCGTCGACTGGTGATTTCCTCCGTGAAAAGTCTGGTGTCTTACGATCTCTTTCGTCGACTGGTGATTTCCTCCTTGAAAAGTCTGGTGTCTTACGATCTCTATAGTCTCTAGTCCCATCACCCGATCGTCTATCACCCTTAAAGTCTTTGTCTTCATCGCTATCGTATCCGAAGGAATGTTTTCGTCTGTAATCTTCATGAGTTTTTCTACCTCTACCGTTTGAGTCTAAATCACGTTTGTTTCTGCCTCCATGATCATAATAGTTATCATCGTCATCACGACCGTTCCATTGATTCTTCTTATCTGAAAAAATTACTTATTAAATTTCAATGAATGGGTTTTTCTTATCTTACCATAATAATCATTATCCCTGTCTAATCCATGAGGGCTTTTTCTATTTTTATCCATGCGACTTGGTACCTTAGGCTTTTCAAAATGATCTTTGGGCGTTCTACGATCATCCCTATCATAGGATCTCTTATCATCGGGTCGCTTCTTTCTATAATTTTCCCAGTCTAGATCATCATCTTCACTATCCTGAGCTAAAAAATTATTAAATAGAGATTAGAGATATAATGAAGCACTGAAAGGTTGTTATGAACTTTGTTCAAACCTAGTGACTTCTTGTCATATGGACTTTTTCTGTCTCTGTCGCTTCGATATGAAGGTTTGGGTCTATCTCTCTCAAATTCATCTTTTGGTGTTCGCCTATTTCTATTATCTAATGATAATATAATTTTTTTTAATCTTGAATTTTTGTAAACAAAATATAATTGCATTAATTCTAGCGTACCGAAATCTTTATCATTTTCAGCACCAAAAGGACTTTTTCTTCCTCTGTCAAAGCGATTTGCAGGTAAGGGTTTTCGTGAGTCCACTTCATCTTTTGGTGTTATACTTCTTCTTCCATCTAAAAATGGACAAACGCTTAGTTAAGCTGATAGAAGAAAGAGTAAAAATCAACGCACTGCTTCGTCTATCATCAATTCTGTCGTCTAAGGGGCTCTTTCTTAATAAGGTCTTTCTATCAGATTCAAACTCATTTTTCGGACTCCACCTAGTCCTATCATCGAACGGAGATTTTCTGTTCTTGTTATCTTCTCTAACGTTTTATGAAAAAAGATGTTAAGTTTCATCAAAATATAAAATAATCCTGAAAAAATGCTATTGCATGCTTTAAGATTTTCCATAATTACTTTGTCAGTTAAAAGATAGTTACATAGACCATAAACTAAATAAGAGTATATATCAGTAATATAGCAATTAGAGATAGAATGATTGATAGATAGATAGATAGATAGATAGATAGATAGATGAGTAAAAATGTTAAATGAAAAGAAACCTTCGTGATTTGACACTTCTTGGAGAAGGCTGAGGCTGCGATTTTGATTTTGAATATTTTGATTTTCTGTAGCAATGACGATTTGTCGAAGAAAAATGTTAAACACGACAAAAAGAAATAAAACGTAAAGCAGATAGGGAAAAAATTATTAAAATGAAAAAGCATGATATATAAGTTAAAATTAGCATAAATAACATAAAATTATAATTTTATAATAATTAAAATATACCTTTCTAGTGGTTTCGGACTATATCTATTTCTGGGAGTTGGTACTGGAGATTCAGCTAAAGAGTCTAAAGCTGTTGGTGTTCTTCGACGTTTATCTTTTTAAATAAATTAAATAAAAATAGTGAAGAATAAATACTGTATATAAATTATTTTTGCTAACCTCTATCAAAATTATCATCAAATTTCGGTGATGCCCTTTCCCTGTCTAAATACATATATAATATAATAAGAGATCAGAGAAATTGTAGGTCTGATTAAGTTTATCCTATGACTTATTGGTCTGTTTTTTCTTTAATAAATATAAAGTATATACGGTATATAAAGCTTAAAAGCAAAGAGATTAATAAATCTTAGCAAAATATCTATCATTTCAAAAAAATCGATCAATTCATATATAGATATAGATATTGGCATATATATTTTTAAAATGTCTTATTTACACACACGTATTGTTGCTATTTTGGTTTATTTAACCAAATTTTACATTTTATATATCAATATATTAGTTACCTTTTTCTTTATTTCTATCAGAAAAACTTGGTGGTTGCCATCTACCTAAATCTTTCGTTTTGGAGCTTAAATATCAAAAAATAAATAAATATGATATACATATATACTGTATATACAGTAAAAGAAAAAAAAAGAGATGCTATTAAATTTCAATTAAATAATCTTCTTAAAATATTTAATACACCAGAAATATGAAAAGGCATATAGACTTACAAATCTCCAGTAGGTGATTTACGACCACTACTTTTTAGGAAATTTCTATTTAATGGCTGTTTCATAGTCATATTTAAAACGCCTCCTCCAAGACTATCATCTTCATCACCTTTGTCTAAATAACTACTGCGTGCGTTTTTAGACGAATTGCGCTTATTTTGAACGCTGAGCGGCGATCCTCTTCTATCATCGTAAGGTGATCGACTTTTTCCTTTGGTTGTTGAATTGAATCCTTGCAACAGCTCTATAAAGTAAAGCATTAATTAATCCTATGAAAATATTTTGGAAAATTTTCTTTAAATTAACCATCATCGCTACTAAGTTCATCGTCATCTCTAGATCTTCTCATGTTTAATCGTAATTCGTCGCTGTCTGCAAGCTTCTTTCTTCCAGTAGACCTTGGCGGAATGGAAAGATTCGAGTACATATTTCCAAAAATTCAAGACTGAGCGATAATAAGGATATACGGTGTTAAAGCCCACGTTTCTTTTTAAAACTCTTCAAGTTGATGAATCAATGATGCATCAGTAAAAGAAAAAAAAAGCCAAAAATTTTAGTTTAAAATTTACATTTAAAGTTCTTTTTATAATGGAAATTTACATAGTTTTCTAAAATTTATCTATGTAAAATTTTTGTTTACGGAATTTGTCGCCAATGAGATAGGGTATGTTTCACGAAATATATTCAACATTCTCTATATTCACAAATATATTCCTGAAATATCCCCTCTGGACACCACAAAAATTGGAAACTTTTTCGCTACATAACAAGGTAAAGGTTCTGTCTTTGAAAGATAAAATTAGCCAGTACTTTTTATTTAAAGAAAAAGTTTATAAAAATGAAAAAAATAATGTAAATCTATATTTTTTCTATTTCTATCGGAAAAATAATCCGAAATCAATCTTTTTCTTAATTATTTACATCACAAGCACATTAAATTATTAAATTCTACTTTCAAACAATATCAAAAGTTTATTAAATCTTTCAATTGATTATTCTTGGAATCAATAAAAATGTCTTAAAGTTACGAACAGCCTTCAATATAAATACTAATACAAATATATATATATATATATAGTAATCTGCAAAAATATTGAAACACCCTAAATTTTGATAGGACAAATTTAAAATAACAGTCAAAAATGTTTTTTCCCATGAAAATAGTTTTTTTTGTCTAAATTTATATAGATAAAGAGTAATATTTACGTAATATTGAAAAAAAATTGAGAAAATGATGATATTTGGGAATATTATTAGTAAAATATTTTTTGTAATTTTCATCAATTTTTTCTTTATTTGGCCGCGCTTCATAATTATTGGAACAGACACTGGATATCTGGTTTGGCATTAAAAAAAACATTGTAAACTAAAATTTTTTTGACTTATTCAATTCTCCAAGTTAAGTTTATCTATTATTGTCAATTTCAATTATATTAGTTAATTCTTTTTGTATTTATTTAACTATGACGTGGAGTAAAGACATTAGGGGATCTTGTACTGAGGAAATATAAGGAAATAGGAAAATTAAGAGCAACAGCAAGGGTTTTGGGGCTGGCACCATCATCAGTTAGCAATGTTCTATGATGCAATCCACCAGAACAGGAGAATAGGGGTCGTCCAAAGAGACTTACAGAGAGAGACATAGGCAGGATGAAAAGAATAATAAAGAAATTGAAAATAAATAAGGAAAGGGTGATAGCAGGAAAAATTTTACAGGAATTGAAAGTAGATGTAAGCATAGCAACAATTCAGAGGGAGCTGAAAAGACAAAATTTCAAGTATAAATGAGTGAGACAAAGACATGACCACACATCCAACAATTGCAAAAGAAGAAAAATGTATTGTCTTAAAATGATCAGTGATAATCTAGACTGGTCTAAAGTAATTTTCTTCGATGAGGCTAGATTCTCACTGAGTGGCCCTGATGACTTCAGAACATGGACAGATCATGGTGAAAAAGACTTCAGGGTGAAGATGTTCTGCCTGTAATAGAAAATATATCAGCTAGAATGCGGAGGAAGTACATCTTCCAGCAAGACAATACTGGGTGCCATACTGCTAGGACAACAAAAGAGCCTTTCAGATGAATGACATCTACCTTCTTGATTGGCCAGCAAAGAGCCCTGACCTCAGCCCAATTGAGAACATGTGGCACCTCACCAAAAAACTTGTTTATGATGGTCCACAATTCGACTCTTAGGAGGAATTATGGAAGAAAATTCTATTTAGAAGATATATCTATGTTTAATCTAATATTTAAGACAGAAAAAATAAAATAAAAAATCTTTTTTCTTTGTGAAAAAGATCTTTAGTGTTCAGCTTATCAAAATTTATGGCGTTCCAATTTTTATGCAGACTACTTTATATATTAACCATTATTAAGTAAACAAGAGTATCCTTATTGATCCAATGAATGCAAACAGTTTAAAGCACTATGTAATATCATTGTTCAATCGAGGAGCAAAATCATCAAGTCAGTTAATTATGATGAAAAATTTTATCTCGGTTTATCTTCTAATTCGTCATCTCTATCCTCAAATTGATTGCCAATGTCCAACTGCCACTGGCTGGGGGGAAGGACCTCTTGGAAATTTTTGCTACTATATAAATCAATCTATAAGTAAAACGTGGGAAGATACTTTGTAAGTTTAATATGAAGATAGATGTAATGATTTTAACAAGTACATTAACTTTCAGGTCGTTTTGTTCTGCAAAAGGACTTACAATGGTTAGAATAAAGTCGGCGATAGAAAATACCGACGTGCAATCTTTATTACAAGGGATACAAAATCCAAATATCAAAAGTGGTTACTGGTTGGGAGTTAGAGACTTTGGTAAGTTTGCTCTGCTTTCTTCTTCTATAAATAGAACACTTAAACATTTCAGAGAATAAAACAAACGATGGCTATATATTACGCAATCGTTACGACGATGGAACAAAATTGCTATATTGGTTTTTTGCTGGCAACGTACCCAAGGTAGATGAAGCATTTGCAATGAAACTATCTCAAGGAGGAGTAACCAATGGAATTTGGGTTGAACAAAATCGCTCTGATTTGAACGGTGTTATGTGCCAAAAAGTAATAATAGCACTTAAACATATAAAAGATGTTAATTATTATAAAAATATGTTTATTTTGAGGAAAAACAATTTCTAACTACTGAAGATACAACAATAATGGCACCAACAACTCCGTCGGAGCTTTTCTTCGAAGAAACTACAACTCAGAGTATTATGGTTGTGTTTTATTATATTCTAACTATACTAATTTACTGTTTCGTCATTAAAGAAACGACAAGCGCTCCAACAACAACAGCCGTCCCATCAACAACAACAGCAGAATTACCTGGTAAATTTCTATAGATATTTTAATATTCAAATTAATCACGTTGAATTTCATAGAGAAAAGTCCAATATATGTTTTGGTGAAAAGGAAGTTCGATTCAACGTCACCAACAATTCTGGATAAGTTGAAGAGTCGATCAGTTATTAATTGTGCATTTTTTTGTGAAATAGCCACATCCTGTGTTGCTGTAATTTATAATAGTTTAACAGAACTATGTTCATTGTATCCAAATAGTCCTGATTCATTAATTAATTGTGAAACGTGTAACATCTACCTTTTGAAAGAATTGGTAAACTCGTAGAAAAATATTCACTTTGAAAGTGTCGAGGTATATAAGAAAAGCTATCGAAAGGCAGGATTGTCAATTTGTCAATTTTAGAAAAAAAGAGGCACAATACTCATAAGAGAAGATTCAGAGTTCACTTTTAATAACTAGTCAATAAAAATGTAGAAAGTATTTGTATGTGTTTGTTGACATATTTAAGGTAATAATTAAGCCAGTCAAATGTTTCTTTAATACTATTGCTGTCTTTTAACATGTAGAAAGAGAATGAAAATATATTGCCAGTTGATCAACAGAAACCTTTAATAAGTTTTTAACTATTCTAATACAATCAAACATCAAATTATTTACTTTTTTCTATAAATTTATTAGAATTAATTATTTTCTTATATTAAAATTTATTTTGAGGAAATTATTTGACTACCGTGTTTCATGAACATTCTGATGACTTTCCAACTATGTAGCCATAAACTTTATTATGATTATTCTTATTTCTGTCACAACCGTCTATAGTTCGATGTTTACATACTTGCTATCAATACAATATTTGCTACTAGGAATGTAGTTGCTTCATCTGTGTAAAAATTTTATTTGCTGAACTTGAATTTAAAGAATTAGGGAAGATTTCATAAAATAAGGCGCTATTGCAAATAAATGTGCTGGAAACTCGAATTTTATTGGTGAAATATTCCCTACGGACATCGTAAAAATTGGAAGCTCTTTCGTATTAAAGCAAGACGTCGCCATATTTGCTAGATGTGAAATTCAAGCAAAAGGTAAAGTTCGCCGGTATTGTTTTATTTAAAGAAAAGATTCTTTAAAAATGAATAGAATCATGTAAACTAATAATTTTTTTATTTCTGTTGGAAAATTAGGAAATAATTTTGTTTTGTAACTGCGTTTTAATGGTCTTTCACTTCGGCGCGCGAAAACGTTTCATTTACGCTATATGAAAACCCACGTTTATCATGAATCATTAGTCTTGTTATGTAATTTTAAATGAAAATATGAAATAAAATAACAAAAGTATATAAACACAAGGTCTAAATTGTTTTTACAGACGACCTTGACGTAAGTGAGAGACTTCCGTAAATCATGTTCGGCTCAAATAACACCAACAAATTTTCGTTTGGCTCCACGGGTAAGTAAAGAAGATTTTTTAAGTTGAAAATTCACAAAAATGCTATTTAAAGGAACGAGTGGATTTGGTGGTGGAGGAAACAGCTTTGGAACACCTACGAGTAAGTTTTTATTAATCTCCATAGAGTTATCAATAATTGTCTTATACTAAAAAGGCTCTTTTGGATCTGGTTCCACCTTTGGCCAGCAAAATAAATCCGTTTTCGGTACAAACAATAATTCAAATTCAGGTGGAGGTATATTTGGAGGAAGTAGCGGTTTTTCCACTACCACTACCTCATCCGGATTTGGAAGTTTTGGAACTCAAAATCAGACCAATGCTGGAGGCACAAGTTCAACAGGTGGAGGAGGATTATTTGGTTCTACCAATAATCAAAGTGGCAACATGTTTGGTTCAACCACAGGATTTTGTAAATATTTATAAGCTATTAAAAAGTAGTTTTTTACTAATTGTTTTTATGGAAACAGCATTCGGTAACACAGGAACTGGTACCACTGGAGGATCAAACAATACTGGAGGTGGGCTATTCGGTTCTTCAAATACGGCAAGTTCATCTGGTGGTTTGTTTGGTAACAATAACAATACTTCAGGAGGAATATTTTCGGGAGGAGGTCAAAGCGGAACAACTATCAAGTTTAATCCTCCACACGGAAGTGATACTATGATGAAAGGAAGCGTGTCACAAAGCGTCAACACGAAACACCAATGTATAACCGCTATGAAAGAGTATGAAAATAAATCTTTAGAAGAACTACGAACAGAGGACTACGAAGCCAACAGGAAATCTGCTGGCTCAGGTGGCACACCCGGCACTCTCTTCGGTGCACAAAACACCTCAAATTTTGCCTCTTCTTCTGCATCTACAGGTTTTAGTGGATTTAATTCTAACCAGTCTAGCAGTGGCTTGTTTGGCAAAAAAGATAATCCTACAACATCAGGTTTTAGCTTTGGACAGCAACCACAGCAAACAAGTAAAGCATCATGTTTTGTTTAAATCCTTGAATATCTTAAAAAAAAAAACTATTCCCCACACAGGTCAAAGTACAGGTTTGTTCGGTCAAACAACTACATCTGCTCCATCATTCACGTTTGGCGGACAGAATACAAATACAAGTACATCCTTGTTCGGTCAAGCAAAGGTTCATAGTTTCATTGTTACTTTAGTTGCCATTTATAATTTCGTTTTAATAGCCAACTGGATTTAACACAACTACCACTCAGGCTTCAACTAACCTTTTTGGTAGCACAAATACAAACACAGGATTCAATTTTAATCAAGGAAATCAACAAAACAATCTGTTTGGCCAAAAACCAACTACTACAGCATCTAGTTTTTCATTTGGTCAAAATCAAACCCAAGCAGGTAAGTGGAAAACGTTTAACTGCATTATTGCTCTCATCGGAGATTTTAATGGGATCCTTTTCAGGTTTCGGAACTAGCTCAACCTCTACTGGAGGACTTTTCTCTGGTCAGAAGCCATCATTTGGTTCATCTTTTGGTCAAACGTCAACAGCAACAAATTTTGGATCAAATTTAGGTACATTCGGCACCAATACAACAGGAGCAACTGGCGGATTATTTAATAATAACAGTAATCCAAAACCCTTTAATTTTAACGCACCTGGTACAGGAAACACAAGTGGATCCTTATTTAATAGTAGCTTAGGTTCTTTTGGAACAAATACTGTAACCAATAATCAGGCTGCTTCAACAAATAATACTCAGCAACAGCTGCAGCAGCAAGTAATGTTGTTAAGCCAAAACCCTTATGGTGATTCGCCATTGTTTAATAACTTAAAGAATGCGGATCCAAAGAAAAAGGAAGAAGTTTTGAAACCAACTAATCCAAGTGCACAAAAGGCTGCTATTTCGCCAGCGTTTAATCCAACTAGACGACGCTCAACTCCACGCTCTACCAGTCGCATTCGCCCAAAACCTCTAAATTCTAGTTCAACGGGTAATTCACTCTTTGATGGATTGGAAGAGGAAGATGATGTTTCAAATGCAAGCGTGTTTTCAAAGAAAAGTGACGTCAAAAAATTAGTTCTCAAGAAGAAAGTACCTGGAGGTGTTTCTACTCCTAATCTATCTATTAATAAATCTCCTGCTGATTCAACAATTGATCTGTCTACATATGCCAATGGAAAAGAAAATGAAAAACTTGAAGAAAAAAAATCAATGAATACATCGTTGCATGTTCTAGATACTTCAGTTAGAAAAGTTCTTGACATAACTGAGAGCGAAGAAACAACTGAAGTTCAGTTTTCCCGTCCAACTCATCCATCTGGCCTAAAGCTAAATCGCTGTGATTATTACACCTATCCAAAATGGGAAGATTTAGTTGCCAATATTGACAGTGAAAATAGATGCATTGTCGAAAATTTCGTTATAGGAAGACATGGATATGGAAATGTCTACTTTCATGGACAAACAGATATAACAGGCCTTGATTTGGATGATTTAGTTCACTTCAGAAAACATGAAGTCACTGTTTATCCTAATGATGAAAATAAACCAGAAGTAGGCAATGGATTGAACAAGAGAGCTCAAATTACCTTAGATGGCGTTTGGCCTATTGATAAGTCGACTCAAAGTCCTATAAAAGATTTTGAGCGACTGATGGATATGCGCTATGCCAATAAACTAGAAAGGGCGACTCTAAAAATGGATGGTAAATTCCTAGACTATAGACCAGAAACAGGTAGCTGGGTCTTCGAAGTTAAGCATTTCACTAGATACGGTTTAGCTGATGATGATGACGATCTAGCAGATGAAGTTGTTGATAAGAAGCTGAAGATAGACAAAAAAGAAGTTATTGGCTCGAAAGTGGCAGAAAAGGAAGTAGTTGAAACGAAAAGTGAGAAAGAAAAAGAAAAAGCAGAAGAAGAAGCCAAGAAAATTGTTGAAGAAATTGAAGAAGGTTACTCTTCGCTCTTTTGATTGTTTATTTCTATATTTTAAAATTGTAATTTTAATAAAAATAAATTGATTTACACATAGAAGTTCAACCACGTTCTACACTGCCTATAAGCCATCAGTTGGCTGTTCGCCTAGGCGTATCTGCCTATGACGTTCAAATGATGAAAGCATCGTTCTTCGACGACGATGAAGAGGAGGAGACTAATATGCAAACGGATGAAAAAGGTTTCTATTTCTTATTTCATGAAAGACAAGTGAATAGCATGTAGGCTCTTATCTCTCAGCTTATATAAATTATTGCTTTTGAACCTTCGTTAAAATTGTTAGTGTTTCAAAATATTAATGTAATTAATTGTTATCTTTTTAAAATAGTAGTGACTCCCTTGAAGATTGTCCCAAAATCGACGGGACTTGGAGGAAATTTTAAGATGTATGAAAAATCAATAGAGCCTCCACCTGAGCTGATGGAAGAACCTGAAGAAATTAAAAAGGATGAAGAGTATGAAGAACCAGAACCAGAAGGAATTTTAATTCCCTCTTCAATGGGAGATGAAGATGAGAACATTGTACCAACAATAAGAACAAATTCGTTACATCCTTGGTTTGTCCCTTGGAAACAATCTGTTCAGATTGTAAAATCTGTGAATGATTTATGCCGATCTTTTCGATGTGGGTGGTCATCAAACGTTTTAATTCGGCCTCTAGTTGATATGCAGGATGCTTTAGTAGGAACCCCTTTTAAAGTTGATATGGTAAAAATGATTGATGAAAATTCAATGTCAGCTTTTGGAACGGAATGCTTGTTGCAAACAGCTTTAGAATTTACTGATTTCACTAACGGTGAAAGACTGGTTCACTTGAAACCTAGAGAGGATAGCCGTTTGCTTCATTCCTACGCTGATAATTTACAAAATGTTTTGCCAGATGTAAAAGATGATAATGTATTAAAACTCTCGTCATCAGTTTGGAAATTAGGCGTTGCTCTTTGGTCTGACTTAAATATTGACGATATGAGAACTGATTACGAAATTCAAATGCTACGAAAAGATTACGTAACTGAATGGTTACAACAATTCGCTGTTGACTGTCTAAGTGAATGCAGTTCCGAGAAAAAAATTTTCTCCGAATTGACCGCAAGACGGTTACAGAATGCGTGCAATTTGGCGATAAAATGTGGAAACCTTAAGATGGCCTTGATCTTGGCACAGGCTTGTTCTAATGAAAAAGTGAAGCAGCTTGTTCGGACACAATTAGCCTGCTGGCAACGTACCGAAGCTGATTTATTCATTGAAGAAGATTACCTGAAAATATATGCAACTTTAGCAGGTTGTATGGTTTGGAGTGGAAATGGAGGCACCATTAATGTTTGCGACAATCTAGACTGGAAGAGATGTCTTGCCATGCATCTATGGTTCTATTGCAAGAGCACTGATACAATCAAAAGTGGTTTAGAGGCTTACGAGGAGGCTTATCAAGGAAAAACAAAGCATGGTGCATATTGCGCCCCACCAGTACCTGACTATCTCGGAAAAAACAAGTCCCATTCCACAAAAGATGTTCGCTTTCAATTACTCCAACTCTTTTGCGATAAAGCCAGCGTCAAATTGTCGGATATACTATCAACTAATTCCTATACAAATAACCCGTTGGACGTCAGATTAGCATGGCATTTATGGCATGCACTCTACAGTTTAGAATATAGGCATTTAGATGAAATATTTGTTGAACGTTTGCATTTATCGTATGCATCTCTACTTGAAGGCTTAGGACTCTATCAATGGTCAATATTTGTTCTTGCTCACGTCGAAAATGAAAGACGCCGCGAAAGTTATATAAAAGAGGTTCTTCTACGTCACGGAACTCTGGGAAAGGGAGAAGATGATTGGACTTCTGAAGAAGAATTTATATTGAATCGTTTGTACTTGCCCGAGCGTTATCTACACCAGGCAAAAGCAATTAAAGCCCGCGTTTCGGGAGACGTTGATGCAGAATGTTGGCATCTATTGAAATCTGAGGCTTATACCGAATGCGAAAAAATACTAGTTGAGAAAGTAGCGCCAAAGTCACTTTTTCTTCAAAGGAAGCCGAAAGTTGATTACGTTAGGTCATTATTAGAAAAACTGGAAAAGGCTGTTCAAGATGGTGGAAAAATATGTGGCTGGACCAAGTCTGGGAAAGTATTATACGATTATGTCAATGTAAATACTACTTTGGAATTATTGGCTAATTGCGAAAAAATGGATACTTGCTCATTAGATTTATTAAATAATGATTTAAATTCTTTATTGGCTCGAATAGAGTCAATGCCAATACCCGACACAACCATGGCATTTGTTCAAGATGAAATGAGAAAGCGGACAAGAAATATTAGCCGAGTATTGGAAATGTTAGAAAAACAGGAAGATGGAAGCTACAAGTTGCCGGAAGTCTCATCCAGGTAAATATATTATAACATGAAACTTATTAAAGAGAAGAGCTAAAGCTAAAACTGTGCTTATATCTTTCAGTTCGTTAGCTCGTCGTATTGAACAGAAATACGCGTCAAAATCTGCAAAGCCTGAAATCGTGCGGTTAGCCAATAGTTTTCTGAATAAGGAAGTTTAGTGAAACAATTTAGTTTTTATTTTGAATTTTATACCGTCATTACAGTATAAATAAAAGAAAGTATAATAAATTTAGATGCTTTGATAATAAAATATTTATAGGAGTGAGAAAAAGAAAGAATGAAAAAGACAAAAAGCAGTGACAGGAAAAAAGGGAGTAACATACAAACGATTCATTTATTCAAGAGTATATCTTTACCCTATGTGCATTGTTTAAAGCTTTTTACTTGTACTACAAAGCTCGCTTATTGTAACAGAAATAGTTACAAATGTAAAATACTGTATTTAATATGTTTAGGAAAAAAATAGTGTATAAAGATACTTCAGCTTGTCAAAATAAAGAGTAAAAGTCTTAAAATAAACAAAATTAATCGACAGGTAACAAATGTCCTCTTGTCGAGTACAAGGTTATTTAATGTAAATATCAATACCAGTGTCACGAAAGGGTCGCAGTTAATCAATTTCTTTTTGTGTACTCGAATGGCGTTTGTTTCCTTGCGATTATCGTTTGCTAGACAATACGTATGCTGATCATTTAATTCTGTTTGCGTTTACTTACTGAATGTTTTTTTTTGTTATACTGTATTTTTTTAAAGAGGGATAGGGGAGGTTAACACTCACAAAAAAAATTATGCCTATGTACATTCTTACTTATTATTTCGTAATTATCTGAGTTGAAAATAATTGGAAACTTGCTTGTCCGTTATAATCAATCAATACAACAGTGATCTACTTAGTTTCTTTTTTTATCCATTGTTTATAACTTTCTTATATATAAATAAGGTAACTTTATACTTTTGCACAGAATAGGCCTACCTACCAACCTTTTAATTAAAACACAAAAAGTTGTAGTCTTTAGAAGAGAAATAACAATAATCAATACATAGGTTAAAGAATAAATGATAATTTTCTCTATTGTCTTTACTTTGTGTTTTCATTATAGATGGCGTTAAAATTCCCTACATTGAATAGTTAGGAGTGTGATTTGCCTATATGAAACATTAAAAATCGTACAGAGAAGAAAAAGAAGGTAGAATTGCTTAGAAAATTTGATGACTGATTCATATTGTTTATATCTTGTATGATTAATTGATTTTAAAAGAATCTATAGGACAAAAATGAAGAAAATTTATAATTCTACTCTTAATAAACCTTTTAAAAATTGTCCGTATCTCAAGATTATCTTGAATGATAATGTCTTTAAACTTGTGTCAAACACATTTACAGTCAATTCATTAACCTTTTTATGTTCACATTGAAGGTTAAAAGGTTAGATTAGAAAAAGAAATGGATAGAAATCAACGTACTGATATATCATAAAATCAATCTTTTAAACCATTTATGTATTTCTTTTCAATTTGTTCTTCTATAACAAATATTGTATAAAGAGCATAATAGACTAACTCTATCTCCAAAAACAAGTGTCCTTATTAATGACTAAATAGACAATAAAGGAACATAGTAATTTTCGAGTATAAAATATTAAATTAAGAATTAAAAATAGAACAAACAAAGGTAGAAAAATATTCTAAAAATATCCCATAAACATCTCTTTTTCGTTGTTTTTTTTTGTCTTTATTGTTTATAAGGAATTAATAATAAAAAAGAACATACGTATATAGTATTTTTCTTTAGTCTTTTATTCATTATTATATATAGAGTGTCTATTTTTAGAAATGTGTGTTTCGCTATAGCTTATGGTACAATTCTGTCAATTCAAAAGATTATATATTTCAAGCCCCAAAACCTTTTGTTTTTGTCAATTGGCCGTGAGAAAACAAAACCTGTATTTTAAGTGTACGATTTTTAATATCCAGTACAAAAATTACTTTTACACTTATTTACTGCATGTTTAATAAACTTTATATACAGTATTAGTAAATAGATAGATATAGTATATATGAATAGTTTACTGTATTATGTATTTTTGATATTTCTTTCCATTATGTTAACTACTTTACTTTTTCATTTTATTTGAATGCTTTAATTCATTCATTCACTCATTCATAAATTCACTTACTCATTCATTCACCCATCCATCAGGCCATCAGTCCGTCAGTCCTACTAACCTTCAGTTTTTTTTTGCTTACGTAGCCAGTTTTTTATATCCTGTCTAGTTTGCCTTTTATTCCATTTATCTCTGCCTTCTCTTTTCTCTGTCTCTCTCTCTCTTTATTAAATTTCAATCTTAGATATACAAGGAAAACAGATAAAGAATACGAGTAATTTAATAGGATGGCAATATAGAGCCAGGGAGAGCTCAATGACTAACAACAGCTCGTCTAAGAAGTATTTTAATAATTCTATCATTAATCATATATGGTTTTTATAGGTCAAGAAAATGAAAAATTCTTATTACAAATATTATACTTTTAGGCCGATTATACCAAATTCATACTCTATTAATCTCTTTAAGAGTTTTAAGAACTACACACAGATGTTTGTGATAAAACTCTCCTCAAAAGATAATTGAATACTTCTATTGCTCCGTCCTTGTCCTATTTAAATTATTTTTAATTAAAAGGCAATTTAATAAGAGAAAAATAGCATTATCGCAAGTATTAAACCGCTTATAGTTGCCCCACTGCGAAGCACAGTATTCTAATGCTCAGTATTTTAGAACGTCTCCTCCATTCGTGTATCCCCAACTGCAATTAGAGATTATCCCTCCAGTTTCCCTTTACCATCATTGCCACGCGTTGAAGACTGTTGGGTGGCTACTGTAGTGACTAAATCTTTCAATTATTGACTAGTGTTTCATATTGATTGCGGAGGTAAAATTATTTTAGGTGAAGGTTAGCTATAAACAAATGTTATTGGGATATGTCTACAACGCTTTTGCTTTAAAGCCATGTGGTTTCTCAACAATCAAAGCTAATATTTGAACTTTAATAACTGTTAAAGTGAGATAATTTCCAGGCGTTGATATATTAAATTTTTTGTTCGGAATGTATAATAATAAGTATAAGTAAATAGACAATTAAAATGGAGAAAAACCTATAATTCTCCGCTCATAAAATAGTTTTGAATTCTTTTCTGATGATCTAATATACTACATATTATAATAATTAAAGCATAATAATTCAAAGCTTATCTATTTCTTATAATCGTTTTACTATTATCAACTTTAAAATTGATATTTCCTTTTTAATTTGATAATAATTTTTCTATTAGATTTTAAAGAAAGAACAGTATTTTTTCATTTATTCCATTTTTACATTAATAAAAAAGAAACATACATAAGATACACAATACACAATTAAATACTTGATGTATTTAATTAAGTTTAATTTCGTTTCTTAAACTAATCCTACCACTTTCTAGAACCTTTATAAATGATTTTCTCTTTTATTGCATTCTCAACTTTGTTATTTTTAAATCATTGGGAAAAGGAAAAAACTCCCGTAAAGAAGGAAGGAATGAAATAGAGGGAAAGAAGGAGGGGGGCAGGAGGGATTTAAACGATTGTCTTAATGATAAAAAAAATCTTTTCTCTCCTTCTTCAATACGTTTGATAGTTTTATATATTTCCTATTGAATATAACAAAAATTACAAAATCTATATATAAATACAGCGGTAGTATAGGATTAAGATCATCCTAAAAGTTTTCACAACATCCATCCCCATACAAAAGACGAGACAATAGAACGAATATATAAAAGATACTTGTACATGACTAGGAAGTTGACTTTTCTCGTCTTTATAACATCATTTGATAACTGTATATTAAATTTGATATATATTATATAGAGCTAATTTCTTTATATATACAAAATTCGTTGTATATAATTAATACGTATTCCCTAAGTTCATAGAAGCGAAAAATTATATAGATTATTTATTGTTCTGTTTCCTTTTTTTCTTTTTTCTTTTTTAAGCTTAAAATGATTTTCCACCATTTGTCTGTTTTTTCCCCTTTTTATTTCTAACTTATTATTGTTTCTATTTCGTATTTTTCCTCTTTTTTCTTTTTTTAGTTTCGTTTTCTTTATTTAGAAAAAAAAAAACAGAAACCAAATACAAAAGATGTAAAATAAACTTCTTTTCCTTTTATTAATTAACTAATTAATTAATTAATTATCTAGCATCGAAAACCTAGAAATAAAGAGAAATTTTTTATAAAAATACATAACCTTGAACTGGTTATAATTCATCACTTAGATCGAAGATGAAATATCGAATATTTAAATATTAATCATCTTTATTTATCTTATTCGATTGTTAACAATAAGCTGTTAAAAAACATGAAATTCTTTGTTTAAAAAGAAGACTCTTATATATATATATACTGTATACACTTAACATTTTTTAAACGCATACACTCACACACACTCACACACACTTATATATACAGTATATATTATATGTTATATATATATATATATATATATTATATTTGTAAATACAAGGCGGCAGATGTTTTTGAATAGAGGAAATTAATTTTTTTTAGCTGAAAAGAAAAATAGTGAAAAAAAAACTATTAGCGCCACCTAGAAATATAATTCAACGTCTTTTTTTTACACTAGTTTATCAGTTACAAACGTCTATAGGAAATAATCGGATTGGTGATAAATTCACGGAATCTATGCTTAGGTGGTAAATTAATTGTATTTTAGCAAATCTCCCAAGAAGTTGTTCCCTGTGATCTAGTCATTTTGAAAAGGACAATGATGCAATGCACATCGTTAGAAATGTATCGGCGATTCACGTTTAATTCAACGCCTGAACTTGACTCAGAGTTTGCTAATCTAACTAAACTTTGCTATTTGGATAATGAATCGAAAGTTTGCAAGGAATTCGAACTTGTAATACAATGTCTACAATCGTCAAATTCTACAATTTCAATAATAAAAATGCATGAAGATGAACAATCGCAGTCAATCGCTTCAAAATTTTTAATTGGTCTCTTATGCCCATTTATATTCGCTTTTGGTTCAGTTGGAAACGCTATAGTTGCTTGGGTATCTCTTTGTAATAAAGCTTCACCAACTAATACTTTCCTAGCATCTTTGGCTTTTGCTGATTTACTATTCCTTATTGGATGTTTGCCTTTCATGAGCTTCTTTTACTATAGTAAAATATGGTATTTTGGTAGTTTTATGTGTAAGTTTGTTTAACTTTTTTCTTATTTCTATTCCGAAATTTCCATTACGGAATAAGAAAGTAACTTTTAATCTAATTACTTTAATAACAATAATAATAATAATAACAATAATAACAATAATAACAATAATAATAATAATAAACTGAATATTTGCACTAGTCTACAATCTCTTATCTTTTAGTGTAGTCCTTCTTACGGTTTATAATTACTATTTTGTATACGCTTTCTAAACAGGTAAAGCAAGCCAATACATCTTGACCCTATCCTCCCCAATATGTGCTTTTACGATGACAGCTCTGGCAATAGATAGATATAATGCCGTTGTTAGACCTATAAAATCCAGAAAATTCAGGTAAAGAAAAAATAAGTGTTGATTTATTATCTTTATTTAGAAATATTTTCATGCAACTGCCATGCTATATAGAACTAAATGATGGACATTTTTCTAGTACTAATTATTAGGTAAATTGGAGTAAAAAGGTAAAAGTACAAGCAATAAATATAGAAAGAGAGACTTGTGTTACTTGTTTATCTTTCTTGGAAAGAAATTATATTCTGATGATATTGAAAGTCTTAGATTAATGAAATTGAAAGGTATTAGAGGAGGGATTATTTCAATATTTCTATATTATTAAGAGTAGGTAGGAAGCGCTTCAAGGTTAACCAAATAGTTTTTCATACGTTATTTAATTATCTTTTTCTTTGTACATAATTGACTTCATTTTCAAATCTGTTAATTATACATTAGACGCCTTTTTATGCTGGAACGACTCAATAAATAAA